GAAGACTAGAAATCTAATAGTGAAGCCTGTTCAGTCTAACAAAGGTATTGGGAGATCCAGCTAGTAAAGTGTGGAACTATAGATGTTCAGGCTAGAAAGTACATATTTTTAACAGTGACAGTTATTAGTTACTGGAATGGCTTGCACAAAATGGTTAGGTTTCACCACTACTTTCTAAAGGTTAAATTTCACTGTAAATATATTTAGTCCTGTGTATGTTTTAAATTAAGATCAGGCTAAGTGTTCATTGTGATTCCTTTGAGCCTCAGTCTCTATAAAAGTTGAAGTGGAAATGTCTGAGACTGGAATACGTGATCATTTAATTGTTTTGGGCAGTATTTTTCAAATCCTTTGAAAATACAAGTGCATTTTGAGTCTCCTGTCTCCATGAATGCTGGACTGTAGATACGCTTTAGGGTTAATTTAAGAAAGAAGGAATGTGATTGTAAGCTGCACTGACCTTTCATAGGTACACTGAACGAGGTGTTTGAAAATTTAAGAGCAAGTTATTAGGCTTCCTCTAAAATTCTATGGTATTTGTAACTTGGACTAAGCATTGGTGTGGAAGGTTGGTAATAAACAAATGCAGCCTTCACTGTACTTCAGCAATGTTGTCTTTTAAATGGTGTCCTTGTAAAAAGGAGCAAGTGTGGAAAAGGTCTAGGACTTATGGACAAGGAAGGAAAAACTGGTAGAGAGAGGAATGTAATGCAGAAATAGAACTGAGTAAAGATACAAACACCCGTGTGGTTAATTATCACTTTTGTGTTGGATGTGCAAAGATAACTGGGGCATTTGCTTTGAGTATCCTTATAAAGAGTGGCAAAATTTGTGTGGAATGCCTATGGGGTCAAAATGTGGGGTGATGTGACTGCTGAATAGAGAGGAAAATTGAGTTTCAGTTGCTGTTCTGGTAAACATTAATACCTGTTTGTATAAAATGTATCTACAAGAGAGAAAACTAAGACCTTAGAATATAAATTTGTCTAGCATTTGTGGTATTCACCTGAAACCTGGGAAATCGCTTCAAAATACCCACACGTGTCAGTGAAGATTCAAACTTCCTCAAAGCTCGTAGAAACCTAATTAAGTAGTTTGCAGAGGAAGTAGCATAGCTGGGACAACACAGTCTATTAGTATTCAAGCTGGCAAGCTTAAAATGAGTTCAGTTATGTCTGCACAAGCCGTAGCTACACCTTTAAACTGTGTAGATCACATTTGAAGTGCAAATGTATTATTCTTATAATAAAACAAAAATGTTTCTTTTGGAGTGTTCAAAATGCTAATTAAGTTATGTGTAAAATTACCCATGAGAAGACAATGTGTTTTCTTGTACATCTGAATGAAGCCAATCCTGACAATATTCTGAAAGTGTGAAAAGATTTATGACCCATATTTTCAGAATTCTAGGTGGAGCAGATGACTACATTACTGTGTCAGCTTTTATGGGATTTATGTTTACATAAATATCCTTAAAGATCCAGTATAATCGGCTTTTCTTAGTGATTTCAACATGAAGTGCTTAGTGTACATTGAAGGATAATCAGGCAGCTCACTCCTTTAGAGTGAGCCTAAGAAGTCAATTTTGTGCCTCTTGTCTGTGCATTCTTTGCATATTGTTACAATATTCGTTACTGAATGGTTTACATTTTGGGTCTTGACTCCCTAGCAGCAATCTGTACCATAGCTGAGTTGTTAGGTCAAAGTCCAAGATGCACATCCTTCTCTTTGGAATAATGTTAATTAATGCATGTTTTCCATACCCGTAATCTAGGTAAGCAAGTGGCCAGTTATTCTGAATTGTTCAGTCTATTCATAGTTTTGCATGGAATTTACATACTAAAGTGAATCTTATTGACAGAATTTAGATTGCTCACTTTTATAATTTAGCCAGAGTTCTTAAAGTTTATCTAGTGATATTAATAATAATAAAAATAAAAGAAGTTACTGCTACACCATAAATTATAACTTTTGGGCTGCTTTTTCTTTTTCTGTTACTTTTTGAAGACACATTGTTGCCTGAAAGGCTTCACAGAGTAAACTGTGACATTGGTGACATAGCACTTTATTCGTATGTGGTATATTATATGTATGTTTGGTATGGTATTTTTATTTACCAATGTGAAGATTAAACATTTTTATAGATTCTAGATGATAATTTGGTGAGGAAGAAAAATTGATAGTGCTTAGGAAGGGAATGAGTATAACAGGGAAAAAATTGAGATGAGGAAAAATAGAATGGAAGAAAGTTTGTGGATGATGAGGAAAATGCTTAAAAATAGGTAGAAAGCAAAAGCAATACTCATGTTTCAAACAGTGGATGCTGTCAGTATGTATAAAGCACATTTGGTACAAGTGCTAATAATAAGCTCTAGTGTACGTGCTAGGCTAATGAGTTCAGGTAATGCAGGTTGCTGGTGACCTCTCATTAGGTGAAAGTTGAGATAGAAGGCCTGACATAGCTTGTTTCCTCTGTGTTTTTATTGGAAGCTTGTTTAGTATATAGAAATCTATTCAGATAAGAGTAATTTCACATACTGTAGTCCATTTAAAAAAAAAAAAAAAAAAGCCCTTTGTGTAAGGAGTGAAGTAACCATTGTTACTTGAGATTTCATTTAGACCTTTTAGTTATTTTGTTTCTGTGACTCACCTGTCTTATCTCTTCATACTGTAGAGCTGGTGGTCAGTATTGCTTGAGAGGATGATGTGAGAAGACACTGTAGTGTAAAAGAATACAATAATCTTATTGAAGAAGCTGGTTTCTAGAGACTTATTTCCCTTAGATGGGAGGAATTCCAGTTTCGTAAGCCTGTATCTTTCTTAATTCAGTTCCACCAATGACCAAAAACTCTGCATTTTTCTTTAAAACAGTTTTTCTTTCTATCAGTTTTAGATCTTCCTTTCTAACTTTGCTGGTTCTGTTCCTGTATTAAATAATACTTTTAAGCCTACAATTGGGAAAGTTGTCAGCTAATTTAATTTATTTGGCTTGTATCTGTAGATTGTTCTTTCTTGAAGTGTTTAGGTAATGTAAGTGTATTTAAATGCGAAACATTAAAAATGTATCATTTTATGCACCTCATCTATCTACTGGTTTTGGTATATAGTCTCACTTCTGTGAGACCATGAGTTTAGGTTAGAAGAAACGGTGATGAGACTTCATCAAGCACTGTCTGCTCAGAGTGTAGGTTAACTGATAGCACATTTTAATATACTAGCATTGTCTTGAACCGCTAATTTTATACAAAATATAACAACACTTATAAAATGATAGTGTGTCTAAGTGTGTAAAGCATTTAGCTTGTAATTAGAGAAAGATGATTTTTTTTTTTCTGTAGTTCAGGCTGGGGTCTTTCTACATTCTACCAACCCTGGTTAGACAAGTGCCGTTATTCTGAAATTAAATCCATATACCTGGCAATACATGCACCATCTTTTTTCCAATTAAACATTTTAGGAACTTTAGATACTGTTAAGTAGAGAGAGTTTTCAAATATCACAGTTCAGTAATCAAACCTTTACGTATCAGCATTAATGTGCAAATACAAAGGATTGGGTCGATAGAATTCATGTGGAACAAGAAGTATCACAGTCGCATGTAGCTTTTGAGGGGAGAGCAATTCAAATTTAGCTAGGATTGTTGGCAACGATGCTTTTTTAGTATCTCCTCTAAAGTACCAGAATATTTAAAATTAGAATAAAAAAAGTATTTGGGGTACTGCTACATTTCTCCAGTATATATCTGTAGGATATCAAAGTATGTCACTACTGCATTATTCACAGATGTTCACATATAGACTCTAAATTATATAGGAAATACCAATTTTGATCCTTGATCTCTTTGTCAGGAGTATCAGCTATGCAGGAAAATTTCATAGAATCACAGAATGGTTTGGATTGAAGTGACCTTAAAGATCATCCAGTTCCAACCCCCCCTGCCAGGGACACCTTCCACCAGACCATGTTGCTCAAAGCCCCGTCCAGCCTGGGCTTGAACCCTTCGTGGGAGGGGGCAGCCACAGCTTCTCTAGGCAACTGGTATCAGTGCCTCACCACCCGCACAGTGAAGATTTTCTTCCCTATGTCTAAACTAAATCTGCCCTCTGTCAGTTTAAAGCCATTACCCCATGTCCTATCCCTGCACTCCCTGATAAAGAGTCCCTCCCCATCTTTCCTGTGGGCCCCCTTTAAATATTGGAAGGCATCTGTAAGGTTTCACCATAACCTTCTCTTCTCTAGGCCGAATAACAGAGTGCTATATGCTGTTCAGTAAACTGAGCATCAGTTAGTTTGATCTATCCCTCCTATGTCTGCATGAGGTAGGTAGGAACTGCATCTTCAGTATACTTCTTGTTTTTAAAAGATGCACATACAACCCTTGCTTGGTACACAGCAGTACTCCATGAGTATTTGTATGTCTGAGCTAAGAGAAATCCAAAAGTTTTTAGAGCAAAGTGTTGAGGTTAAAGAGAAGGTAGGTTTATTAAAAAAAAAAGCAGCAAAGCTGTTATTTAAACCTCACTGGAATGTAGCCTTTGTTCTGTTTCTTTAGATTTCCAAGCAAAACGATAGTTTCCTGGTTTTAAGTGTTATTTTTAACCTTAATTTTCACTGTTCTCACTGACTGCTTAGATCTTTCATGCTAACAATCTTGAAAATCTTTTGATAAGGGGTTGGAGGGAATTGATTAGGTAAGAGAAGTTGTGTAGTACCTGATTGAGTTATCAGTTTGTTACAATTACAACTGCACTGTTGAATTCCTTTTGATGTCTTTATTTGTCTCTAAGGGATGTGGCTATGTCTGAATACCTGCTTACTATTCAGATGCCAAGTTGAAGAATAGCTTGCAATTCCTGCTTGGACATTGAAATCACTGTGGATTTTTTGGCTTGCTTATTTGTTTGCTTGGGATTTTTTTGGTGGTGTTTTTTTTTTTTGTTTTGTTTTGTTTTGTTTTTTTGTGTGTGTGTTTTTTTTTTGTTTGTTTGTTTCTAATCTAGGATGAAACAGGTGCCTATTTAATAGACAGAGACCCGACTTACTTTGGGCCAGTGCTGAACTATCTCAGACATGGGAAACTGGTTATTAATAAGGACCTAGCTGAGGAAGGTAAGATGTTACTAAATCTATTGCTTTCTTGTCACTTGCTTATTATTTTCACTGATTTCGAGTCACCAAAAGTAATTTACAAGTAGACGGTACCATCTTAATCAGTGTAGCATTTTGATCTGTTTCAAGTGAAGCTGATAGTTATCTTGCAGTTATAGTATATGTTGTTATTTGAGTGTTTTGAATATGATTCCTGATTTCACAACCCCTGTCCCCAGTTCGAAATAGAACATAAATACTCAAACATGAGGGGAAATGTGTTTTATTGTATAATTTTGTACCTTTCTTGTATGGCTATGTGAAATATTTGAGTTTAGTCCTCTTCAAGCATAAGAATAGGGTCTGTGAAACAAGCTTTAGAAGATGTAAAGCAAAGCAAGAGTGAAGGTCTGGGATATTCAGATGTGTGGAATATGCTTTTGAAGAGTAAATTCTGCCCTCAGCTTCTCCCTCTCTGTCTCCAGTTCATATCAATTTTACCCTAATGGAGAATGACTGTTTTAAACCATATAGTACTAAAACTGTATTGATAAGGTATTGAAGAAATCCATCAAGGAGAAATACAGTCTAACAATATTAGCAGGAAATAATGTGAAATAAAATTTCCATGTGCATTGTTAAACACAGTATGTGTGGAGAACAGGTAAACTTTGAACTTGTGAATGGGGGCAGTCTGTCATATATCTTTAAGCTTTTGTTTTGGGGTCTAAGATCTCAAATGACAGGAGGAAAATTTTTCTGCACACTAGCAGTTGCAGTGCTTTACAGTAGGGCTGTTTGAATATTTCTTTCGTATTCTAGCCTGAGGCAGGGCCTGAGCTATGGTTATTCATCAGTCTGCTATGAATGGCATTTGTGCTCCTTTTCTTTCTTCATTCTGTATGTGACATGGCACCAGTTTTCTTCAGATGTTTTTAAGACAGTTTTTCAAAATGAGCTAAACTTTGAACTACATGTGCCTGAAGGAAGCCAGAATTGTTAGGTTAGTAAGTAAACTTTTCCTAGGGCAAAATAAATAATTTTCTATAGCTGTAGAGGAGGTAATCTTAGGAACATAGCTTGGCGGTTTTGGCCTGGAATCTTTGGTTACACTCTCTTTCCAAAAAAAATGTTCTCATACTAGGTGTACTGGAAGAGGCTGAATTCTACAATATCACATCACTAATAAAACTGGTAAAGGACAAAATAAGAGAAAGAGACAGCAAAATCTCACAGGTGAGGATGTTTTCTAGTGTGTTTTTGATTATTGGTTCTATGGCAAGTAGTGGGTGGGTTCCATTTTTTTTTTTTCCTTAATTGCTTATTTCCTTAGTAAGATACAGAATGGCTGCCTCCATCACTGGCTGAGCTGGAACCATTAGTATGCAAAGGTTAATATTCTTAATCACCAGTAACTGCCAGTCTGCTTACAAAGGGTACAGGCATGTGGTTCCAGTTCCTGTTCAAAAACTGAAAACATTCTGAAGAATTGTTCAAAAGTGTCTGGTAATAGTAGAATTTGTCATACTATAATTTCTGGAAATAGTTATTTTAGGGAACAGCTTTTGTAGAATATATTTTTCTAATACACATTTAAATACTCTGAATATGATGAGATTGCCTAACTATGGTATTACTGCTGTTTATACTGTATACATACAGATGTTGTTTAGCTCCTGTCATATGCTTTTGTAGTGAAGTTAGTTTCTTTATTTGCAGTGCTCTGTAGTTGAGAAGATTTCGTTTCTTCTCATAGCAGCTCATGAATATTTCTTCATGAAAGTGAATATGTTAAACTGTTAAGTACAGAAAGCATTTAAATTTGTTCTTTAACTCTGCTACTCTGGCCTTCCCTGATAACCGAGTCTTCATGGAGAGATACTGCAAACCTATGTTACCAAATTTCTCTTGAAGCTGTGTTGTGGTATAGCAGAGTTGCTCTGACAGCATTTTCTAAAGGGTTTCATCTGAAATGGTCCTAGTGATTCATTGCTCTGGATAGGAAACTTTGACAGGGAAATAAAGACATTTTTGAATATGATCAGACATTCCTTAAAGTTAGGTAGGCCTCTGCAGAACTTCAACCTTGATTTTGAATGATGTGGTTTGCTACCACATAGAACGATAGGTAAGTCTTATGATTATTTTGTTATGACTGGTAAGTAGCACTTTCAGTCCCTGAAGTATTCATGAAGCATTGAGTCTTCTACAAGGTTATTCTGAACAGATGAGATTTCTTTAAAAAATATAATAATTTAAAAAAAAAAAAAAAAAAACAACCAAAAAAACCAAAACCAAACCCAAAACCAACAAAATAGGCAAAGTGTTCAAGGTGGTGTTGCTTACCATTTCTAAAGAATAAGGGGAACTTTAGACAAGTCACAAACATAGTGAATTCTGTGCTGTATTGAGCATCTTGTATTTCTTCTTGAAGGTGCCAGTCAAACATGTGTACAGGGTGCTGCAGTGCCAAGAAGAGGAACTCACTCAAATGGTTTCCACAATGTCTGATGGCTGGAAATTTGAACAGGTAAAAAAACCATATGGGATATAATTACAAAGTCTTCTAAAAATTCAGTTATGTGAAAGAGGAGTATGAAGTCAATTCTATGAATCTTTCTAAGTACAGTCATTTTCAGACATTGAGTAGATAGAGACACAGTTAAGTTAAGTTTTGATATTTGCATTCTTACTTGTCAGAGAACAAAAAAACCCCTAGCTTCCCAGGAGGTAAATTGTGTTGACTTTATATAAAAATATCTACATCAGGTTTGAAATATAATTCTTCGGTGTCTACACATGAGCATTTGAAGGGTGAATAAACTAAAATTGACTAATGCAAGTTTATACGAACAATAGGTCAGATATAAAGAGCTTTGGGTAAAAGAGATGAGCTTGGGAGTTAAATGTTTGTCAGGCCCAAACAATGGTACTTCAGAGAAAGGACTGATACGCATAGGAGGATGAATGTAACCAACGTGGATGTGAAGCTGGATAGATGTGAGCTACATTAATATTTTCATTCATTGCACTGCATGAAAATAGCTTTGTGTGTACATTCAAGAATACACTGTAAAATTGAAAGATCTTTGTGTTATCTTAACTTTGCTAATTTATGTAAATAAGAAACTAACTACATGACCTCTTCATCCTTCACATTCCTAACCTACAAGAATATTGATACTGCATTGGAGCAATGAATCTGTTAGCTCTGGAGTGAGACACAAGTGCTCAGTTGCCAGCATCTTTTTCAGTGTCTGGTACCAACTGTAGGAGAGATTGGAATAAACACAAGACTCTTATCCTATGCAGTCTCACTCTAAATACAACAAAGCAACATTTTTGAAAAATATGGCACACAAAGGTAGAAGAGAACATTTTTTTTGTATTTGATTAAGTGTAAGGTGCTGGTGTCATTACCAAATAAACTAAACCAGCATGGAGAAAGCTTCTTACGCTTCAGTTCTCCGACTCAGGTAATACCAGGTCTGTTTGGCATGCCAGAAGCTGAATGTTGTTTAAGTCCCTGAAAAAACTCACTTAATGCACATGACTCTTTTTTGACCAGTGCATTGACAAAGTTTCTTTGACATTCTTCTTGAAAGGTCATGAGAAACTAGCTTTCATTACAAATAGAGATTCTTTGCTTTTTAACAGATTAAATGTTACTATGGCTTTTACCTGTCCTAAAGCCGTGTATTCTTTGGGAATATTGTGTTGGGGAGTAATACTGCTTTGACAGTGCAAGTGCTGAAAGAACTATTATAATCTGTTTTAGAATTTACAATCTCTTTTAGAACTGGAAAATTCCAGCGGTTTTCTTGAACATTATGTCCTTGTTTCATCCAGCTTTCTCCCTACTTCCTCCCTCCACCATGTTGTTCTCTTTTGGACACATAGTGTGAAGTAGATAAACACAACACCTGTATGGTCTCATAGTGCTCAGCTTCTCATTACCTTAGAGTAAGCCATTCTCTCCTTTGGTTTTATTGCAGACCTGCTTTTAGCAGACATCATTCACTTGAAACATGATTAGAATATTCTGTGTAATCTAAACAGTTCTACTGTTAAGATTTGAGAACACTGTAGCATTTCTGTAATTTTTTATCTTTTCTAAACCTGTGTTGTTCAGCAGCATGCTTCCTTCAGAAGCAGTCTTTGGGGTGGCACCTACCACGCCTATTACATATTATCATTGCTGGGATGGAAATCATGAGCTTTTTCAGAGGAGTAATATTCCTATAGGTTGAGAATCCTTGTGCTCTGTGCCCCATCTAACATGTTTAAGTGGTTGATTTTGCTCCGAAATATTTATTTCCCCTTAACATTTCAAAATTTTCTTGTAACATACAATTGAATGTGATGATTAAATAGGAGTGGAAGGTGTAAAACTTCTGGTGCACTTAGGCAGATGTATTGGTGCACTTTTCCAAAGAATATGAGTGAACGTGCTGCTAGAATACTGCAATTATGTTATCAGTCTCAGTCCAAAAACTACTGCCAATAATTGTGCTGCCCCACTTTTGTGATTTCAATGGGTTTACTTTGCAGATGATTTTTAGCTTCAATTGTTACATTTTCAGGCACTCAGAAAAAACAGTATTTTTGCAATACTACATAATGAGAAACTTTGGGCTATACAAAATTGCTATATAGAAAAGCTTTAGACAGCAGTGCTGTGTAAGTCATGTAAATTTTAATCATTAACATAACCTGAGTCTGTCACCATAATGCTGTCTGAAATAATTCACTGTATGAGGAAGATGGTATTTAGCTGCTGCCTTCAAAATTATTCACATCACAAAAGCAGGATAAAAATGCATTTACCGTTCATGAGCCTTCTCATGAGTAGCAATCACCAGTTTACTCAGAATAGGCAGTTGTTGTCTAGTTCTTCACAATTAATTTAAAGCTCTAATCTTTCTCAAGTGCACTGATAGGCTTTGATTTAATTTAAATGGACTAGGAATTGCCATGTATAATTAAGAAAAATTTTTTGTGATAAGTTGAGAAATTTAATTGAGGTTGCTCTGAACTTCCGAATTATTAGACATTTGGTAAGAGTGAACAGAGTTCTTCGTACTGATTTTTATGGGAACAAGACAAAATTTTTTCCACTCCAGTTATTTTCTTGGATCTTTTGTAAATTGCCCCTTCTAAAACCAATTTAGAGCACTCAACTTTTTTTCTTCTAGTTGACTTCATATGTTTCCTTATCTGTATTTTGTTTATCAATATCTGGAATAAGATAAAGCTCTTTCATACCCAGACTTGATATATTTCTTTACATAACACCTTCCAGTCTTATCTCCATGTTACCTTCTGCACTTTGCAAGTATGACAGGAAAATAATGCTCACTTTCATAATACACCATACTTTGTTTTTCAGAGTATTTGGCTACACCACAGTGATACGGGAAGTTACGTGACTTACTATCAGTAACTATTAACTTCCCTTGAAATTACAAAGGGCTTTGCAACTGCCTTCATAAATTTTAAGTATGTTGAAATGAAAGTTGTAGCTTGATAGCAACCTGTTTTAGTGGCAAGTAAATGTTACCTGAACGTTTGAGCTCATCTGTTATTTGTACAATTTGGATAACGATATGTGCTTCAGCTTTACAAAGGTTTCTTTTTGTGTTTTGCTTTGATTGGTTATTTCAGCTTGTCAGTATAGGTTCCCAGTACAGCTGTGGCCGGGCCCAGCAGTCAGAGTATCTGCTGATAGTGTCACGGGAAGTGAAAGGGGAAGAGAGATGCTTCCAGAAATGCTGCAGTGAGGTGTGTCACACCATTCTTTTTGCCCTCACACTGATATGCTTGGCCTCCTTGCATTTCTGCTGCTTTCAAATCATTCCACTTTATTCCTGGATGTACAGCACATAGTAATTTGTGTGTATTTGTGACTGGCTTTTATTTATATTCACAGTATTTCATTATACATTATAAATGTTCATATTGTAAAAATAATAAACAAGCAAAAAACCCCTAGTTATTTAGTTAAAGGTTTTTCTTAAGAGTTCTTACCTTCTCAATAGGTAACTTCTTTTCCTTAAATCTTCCTCCAAAGTTAACAGCCTTTGATCCATACTTGTTGAATAAAAGTGGTACAATTTAAACATTATGACCTCTGAAAATAAAGCTTTGAGTTCACCGGTTTTAGAAAGGGTCATTTCTATGTTAATCATTGTTCCAGTTTGGGTGTATTTCATCCACTTAATAGCCAGTTATGTTTTGAGTTTGGACCCTTTATTTCTGGTAACTCAGAACTTAACTGTTTTGTTTGTTTTGTTTTGTTTTTTTTTTTTTTTTTAAGGTGGATGAAATATTTTCAAAATGGAATTGCAAATAACAGAATTTTTCAGAAATAAAATACGGAGTGAGGGGAGAACCAAACCAGCAGTTTTAAATCTTGTCTTGAGTGGAAAGAATGTCCTGGGGTTTTTTGGCTTTTTTTTTTTTTTTTTTTAACTTCCTCGTTGTTTTGGTTATTTTTCCCCTTGGGAAATTTTCTTGAAAACCAAATGAAGAATCATAGCTTCACTCATTGGCTTTTTAAGCTGTCTCGTCCTTCCTGTTCCCCTTATCCTCAGGTCACTGATATATTAATTACTGTGTTATTTCTCAGTGTTAAAGAGTATGGGAAGGATTTTTTGCTAACCAGTAACATTGGAAGCAATTTCCAGTTTTTTACATAGCTGTGCTCCCTTTTGAAGTGTCTTATGTGAATTGGTTTGGGAACCTGCTGTTCTGTAGTATTTTCATCAATAAAATACTTAGAGTATTTGTTCTTTTTCCTGCTATATAAATGGTTATTCAGTCTGAAAGATCAGTATAACATCATGAAGGTAACATGACAGTAAAGTGACTTAATATGAGTAGAACCTTGGATAGGAGGTTACATGGACTCTTAGCCATGCAATTGTAGATTTTATACCTGAGCTGTTGCCTAACTATGTTCAAGAATCTGCTTTCAATATACCAAGCACTATCTGTTTCTTGCAGTTGTATAGGTAACGTTTGTAATGTGGAATTTATGCATTGGGTTTGCAGACTTTCTGGAGTGGAGTAAGAAATGTGGCCTGTTGTTAAGAATGTGTAGGGTATAGGCAGCATGATGTTACTCGTGTTCATCTCCTAGATAGCTCAAAGTAAAATTCAGCATAATAAAATGGGAGATGGGGGAAGGCAGTGAAGAAATTAAGGCAGGTATAAAATAAAATTAAAAAAAAAAGAAATCTAGAAGGGAATGAATTTTCCTCCCTCTTAGATTTAAAGTCTGACAATTGCATTAAGAGACCTGAAATAAATATGCTTGCGGTCCTCGTGTCAGTCATCACTGTTGAGTTTAATGGCTGATGTGTATGTATCTGTGTAGCCTTTTGCAAATCCTTTGAGAAGGCAGTAGAGTGAACACATTATAACTCTAAAAGGTGTAGAGGCCATTCTTACATTCGTACAACTTGATTCTGTAAAAAAATTGAGGGCAGGACTTTCTTTTATTCTATCAACTGTTAGTATAATTAAAAAAAAGAAAAAGGCAAGCTTCCAAGACAAGCTTTCTAGTGTACAAGAAGTTTAAGGAGTTCGCCACATCTGAAATAGAAGTAATATTCAAACTAGAAGAATATTCAAAATAGAATTTGAAAATAATTGTTATGAAATGTACTCAGTTTTGAGAACCAGACTATCACAGAAAGAGAAGGAAATTGGTAGTCATGAAGTGGAAGAGTTAGTTAATATGAGTAACTCCAGTGGGAAGCAGGGAAGGGCAGGAATGCTGTTTGTGCAAGTTGGAGTGGTCATTTGTGATGATAACACTATTGCTAATATGTCCTGTAAATATACTGTATACATTCTGAAACAATATTAACAAACCAGTATAGCAAATCTGTATAGGCAAGTTGTTGAAACGTGGCTGGTTTTGAGAGCTGTCTCAAGTCAGTTAGGCATGATATTTCTTCACCTCAAAAATAAGGTTCCTAAAAGTGATGCACCAACCATTTTGAATACTCATAGGGATGTTTTTAGGTGTACAGTCATTGATTTAAGATACAAAGAGATTTTTGTGTTTTGCTGCCGTTGAGTAACTTGATTCAGGATTTACTTGACGTATTCTCTCACCTATACTACTTTTATCATTGTTTTTTTCTTAAACATTTTTTGTAAGACACAGTTATCTTATCACAGAGCTGTAGACTTAGGAAAAGTTCTTTAGAAAGTTACTTCATTATTGTCCTCGAAATCATTCTTAAATCTTTCCTTTTTGAAAACAAGCCTGACCGTACCTAGGCATCAAGTAGTCTCTGCCCACCTTTACTTATGCCAAACCTTTTTTTTAAAAAAAAAATCTCTGCCCTTTCTTATTGTCATCTTTTATCTTACTTAAAAGTTCAGACTTTATGTCCTGGGTTCGGCTAGGACAGGGTTAACTTTCACCAGGAGCTGGGTGGGGGCACAGCCAGGACAGGTGACTTGAAGCAGCCCAGGGGATATTCAACTCCATGCTGACCTCATGCTCAGTATGTAACTAGGGGAACTGGCCTTGGAGGCCGGGCGCGGGGTACTGGGTGGTGAACAGCTGCATTGTGCATCACTCACTTTATATATTCGTTTTAATCAGTATTGTTATCGTTTTCTTCTCTTGTGTTGTTCTATTAAATTGGTGTTATCTCAGCGCACAGGGTTTTACTTTTTTATTTTCTTCTGATTCTCCTCCCCATCCTACTGAGGCAGGGGTAGGAGTGAGCGAGTGGCCGCCTGGTGCTTTGTTGCCGGCTGGGCCTAAACCAGACACTTTATGAGATAGGAACTTCCCTGTTGTTAATTCTTTGTCTTTACAGGAAGGTCCTGACCTGTATTGACACATCAAGCAATATAATGCAAATAACTCTATTTCTGTTGATTATTATGGTTTCCATTCCTGCCTTTTTTAGTTACGGCTGACAGCCTGCTAGTGTCAGCATCCTTATTCCATGCAAACAATAAATGGATCATTATCTAATGAATTTTCTGTGATAAGTACACATTGGCATTTTCCTGTGCTCAGTTATGACACTGTTGGGGTTCACAGGGACTCTCAAGCAGGATCACACTGCTTTTAGTAAAGAGTGTAATGAAACAAGTCATGGAAAGAAAGAACCAATGAGGAAAAATACATACATATATATGTATATATAAGCATACAAATCTTTGAAATTAAGAGTTTCAAAATGTTCTTTCTTTCTTTTCTTAAGTTCTTGATCATTAAAATTCTCTGTACTGTATAAGTCCCATGAGTCAAAAAGAGTTTGCCCTTTCCGAGAGTCTGAGAAACAGTACACTGGGTAATCTCCAAATGCTTTTCCTATGCATTGTAACAGACATTTTCCACACCTCGCATTACTCTGATCTGTTGTGGGTTCTTGTTTGGGGGGCGGATGGACAGATGGACATGAGATGGGAGAGTTTAACAAGTCCTTCCAGTTTATTAGCATTCTTCTTTAAAGTATTGCCACCAACACTGGGAACAATGGGGTGACTTTTGGAATACAAATGCTAAAATAGTTCTGATTGTACTTTCTGACACAACTGTTCAGTTATAACCTGCAATCATTTTCCGTTTCTTTTCCTGCCACAACCCTTATTTGTTGCTGATGCATCTCAAAAAGCTATGATGAAGTTTCTAGCATGCTACTGATACTATGTAAATGATACATTTTTGATCACACCCATATGGAATTGCTTGCAAGAGTATCGTGCTGGAGTTCTGAAGAACTTTTGTTTAATATTGCAAAAGTGACTTTATCTTGAAATGCACAAGCTGATTAATAATGGCAAAAAGTCATCCAGATGTTTTGCAGTCAGCAAAATCAATAGCTGTATCCAACTAGCTAATAAGTAATCAGACTGCCACATCTCCTAAAAAGACTTATGTGCAAAAGGTCAATTTATTTGGATTATGAAGCTTTAGTGGGGGATGTAAGTAGCTATCAGCTGAGGACCTATCAACCTTGTTGAATCAGGATTGATGATTTGGCTGATGTTTGGATCTTGTGTTGTATATGCTTTCAGAGGTCATTTATTTCTATTTTCCCTTCTGGTAGTTGTTATCATAGCTTATCTGTTATCAAGTTCTTGCCATTTTGCAAGAAGAAAAGTTGACTGTATACTAAATCAAATCATACGCTTGAATTTTATTCTTTAAATTTCTCTTCCGAGAAGGTAAATTATGTGTGGCTTTATTTAAACACATATCAATCTTTTGAATGTTTTCTAGCCTTTAAGTGGGTTAAAAATACTGTTTAAAGTAGTCCTGCATTGTATCTCAATAATTGTAGCAGTTATTTGTATTGTATGGTTTGTAATTGCTATATAATATATAGAATAAACCCTATACCACTTTATACCAACAGGCTTAGAGCCAGCTTTACTTTTTTCCTGAAAATTTGTGCATGATATTTTGTGCTGATAGGAAGAGAATCAGTAAATCACCTCTATATATGGAGTAAGTCTGGGCTGATTTTCCAGTGGACTTTCTTAGTCCATTTTGTGCAACTAAGCAACTAGTTACTTTATGGGTTTTGTGATTACACAAATATGTTATGGTGCAGACTGCAGAGTATCTATTGGGAAAGATTAGCTGGCTTAACGTCTCTAGACAAATGGTGCCTTTGTATGAGGATCTGTTGGTGCTTCTACAACACCTGGGATTTTGTAACTTCACTGCATGGTTTTGGTGCAAAAATGTCTTGATCACATTTGGTTTTGATCATTACTGACTTTGTATGTATTTTGCAGAGCTAGTGTGATGTTAGGAGTGGAGGAGGGAGGGAAAGGTTTCAGGTGATCACACCCAGACAGTATAGTTAACGTAGGTAGTTTGAGAGTGCTGAATTTTGATTGCCAGTACTGTGCATTGGAAGTTTGTATTCTGTAATACCATCAGGGTCCAAAAACTTTGCCGTTGCCAAGGCCTGGCCTCAAGTTGGCTCATGGTGCAGACGTATTGCCTGCTGCTCTTTGTAGACATTGGCTCTGTCTGTGGAGGTGCTTGCTTGGCTGTCCTACCACAGTGCTGGAGCATCTGAGCATCTCTCTCCTCTCTGTCCTTAAAAGTGCAATGAGGCTTTATTTTCTCCTGACAGTGCTATATGGAAGCTGCTTTTAACCTTGATCTACCTTCCACATTTGTTGAGGGAATAATCTTATGCCTCAAGTACAGATTCTGGATCAAGATTTTGTTTTGGCGGTATCTTCCCTGCCTTAACAAAGCTTTTACTTTCTTTGGTGCTCTGCTAGACTAATGGCAGTACACACTTTGTTTTTAGATATGTAACTACAGTGTTTCAAGTGCTGTTGCACTAAAAAACAAGTCAGGCCTTTTCTACAGGGCCATTACCAGGGTACTTTAATGATATAATAGAGATTGGGGAATACAACAGCCTTGTCACATGTCTATGGTGATTTGGTAGGTAGATTTTATATAGTTTTGGTAATGACATTTAGATATAGTTTATCTGTGCAACAGATTGGGTTTTTGGACTTTGATCTGTGTCAGTAGTAATAGCATTGTACAGTATCTTGTCATGCTTTTGAAATGAACTTTTAAAATAAATAAACCAGCTACAACTGAATTGATTCTGGATTGGAAAGGCAGGCTATGTAAAGCTTCTAGCATTAGGTAAGTGTACTGTGTGTAAGGTAAGACAAGTTACATGAAATTTCTGCCATTTGATAAACATGCTGCATATGAGGTAGTACTGATGTTGAGTATATCCTTCTTTCTCAGTAAATTGTCATTTATCATTCAATATCAAGACTTGTAGAAGCTTGTAAATACATCACTTTTCATTATATATGGCTTCCACTTGCAGCACTTCCTTAATTAATTTACTCGTAGCAGTACATATGAATTTCAGATGTTAATCTTGGTGTGCCACCATGCTGCGTCTTGCTGTTTTCCAATCAAATGCAAATTTTGTCTTTGTCCACTCAAAATATGTTTTAATAGAAGGACCAGTATTCTGTAAGTAAAGTGGTGGGTATCCCTTTAAGTCTAAAGTGCTTCTTGCATGCAGCCATTTATATGTTAAATCATGCCACATTAAGATACCATATACAGACTTTCTAAAAATTAACTTTGGAGGATGGGAAGGTTTCCGGTAAATAACAGAAACAGAGAAAAGGCTACTTCTCCACTGGCCTGCCTCTGTAGCCTTTTCTTTCACAGTATAATGATAACTGTAAATCAGTAATTCTGTAAATGTTTAAAAAGAAAAGCTATGTTTATCTTATCATCAGAGTGTCAGTGTATATGTCAACATCAAAATGTATTTGCATTGAAGTGGAGAATCATGCTTCAGGCACAACCAGCAGTCTGAAGAGGAGTATTTGTACTAATGATGAAAACTTACGGAATTTGTTTTATGTGATAATGCAATTGACTGGGTTGTTGTTGTTTGTTTTTTTTCATCTTTTAGCTGGTCAGTATTGGTTCTTCTTATAACTATGGCAATGAAGATCAGGCTGAATTTCTGTGTGTTGTCTCAAAGGAATTGCATAACACTCCCTACGGCACAACCAGTGAACCCAGTGAAAAAGCAAAGGTAAGTTACCAGATATAGGACTAAAGAAATGGTGTCAGATTGGATGAGCTTCACTGAGTTGTGCTAGGCCTACCTCTCTTCTGGACCATTATTTAATTGTCTTTTTGCCCCTCACTCATGACTAATAATGGTTCCCTGTCCATTGTATGAGAGACTGTAAATGGCACAGCATGCATTTGTTATATCAAATGGGTTCTTTAAATGCAGTAGTCTGTACTGTGCCTGATACTTGTCCTGTTTTTTCGAGTATTGGCAGATATTTGCTCTTTACAGTTGAGAATTGAGGTTTGTTTCTTACACATTTGAATGCTTCGTTATTCTGCCACTGGGTCAGTTGAAAACTTTTCTTCCTTGAGTTCAACTGAAGAAATCTTACTGTCAAGAATGGAGATTGTAATATGCTCTTTCTGAAAAACATAGTCATGTGCGTTATGTTATAAAATGAAGGTATTTGTTAGCTTAGTATTTTCAGGTTTCTACCCGGTTCTCTTTACTTTCTGTAACCAGCTTTACAGGAAGATTGTAATGGGCACAATATCTTAGAATTTTACTCAGTTGTCTTTCAGGATTTGTACAGGGGAAAATGTAAAAATATAACTGAATAGTAATAAGGCAGACCAGTTATGTATGTAAGTGTATTTCTTCTCTTCCATGCATATCAAACAGTTTTTATCATTGTATTGTTGCTTTGTACAAGGAGATGACTACAGACCAACTGGATGCTTCTGTTAGCTTTTCATTTAGTATATGTAGGTGGGAAACAAATGGTAAAACATCAAAGGTTGTTTTTTCAAGAATCACCTTCAAAGAAATTAATTTTGAAATAATGCTAAGAATTGTTCTGGGTCTTGGTGCTGAGGCTTCAAATAGATAAAACTTGAGTACTTTATGTGCCTTGTAACTTGGTTATACAGCTACACATATGGAGACGTTTTTGTAAACTATGCTATAAAAATACTTCAAGCTTTCTGTTGGATTCTTAGTGAAATTATTAATTTATGCTCTTTTGTCACTGTTGAGATAAAACTTCCAAAGAGTTGTAAGGGATTAACGTAGTCAATGGTAAAAAGTGAATGTGGGTAAGCCACATCTCACTCTTCCAAAACCGTAGTCCGGGTCTGCTTTTGCCTGGGTGATTCAGGAAGACTTTAAAAGTTGACAGGTTAAAGAGGTGTATGGTAATAATTTAGGGCTGAGATATGTATCTGAAATAAAACGTGGAATTCTAGAGCCTAATAAACATCTTCATAAGGAATGGTAGTATATCTTCAGGGAACTTCAGAAGTTACCAGAGTTACACTGCATTCTTAATGTAAAAGAAAACACAGTTCAAATAAAACTATTAAACCTTAAATACAAAAGTTATTTCACAGTGCAGTACAACTGTGTAAATTCAGTAGCTCTGAGAGAAGCTAAATCTAAGACATTGAAGTGCTTCTTGGTCATTGTTTCAGAGAAGAGAGCAGAGCATAATTTGACCAGGGTAATGAATAAGAATTACTCTTGATTTTGGTTGGAGATACAAACGTTCACTCTGTTTGTCCTGGAAGAGTTGAACTGTTGCTAGCAATTGATGACAATACTTGAAGAATCATTTTTTGTATATTGTGTTTCTAATAGATCAATTATTTTTTATAGGTATATTTTGTGCCTGGGGGGAAAAAAAAAAAAAAAAAAAAAACACGAAAAATTTCTTTTTGGTTGAGAGGTTTCCGACAGCTGTGTTCAGGAATCTTGATGGGACTTTGGGAGCTGTTGTCTCAATAGTTTCCTCTTAGACAGCATTAGTCCTCTAGTCTGCAATCTTTTCATTAGTATCTGAGTTGGTCTTGTGAAGCCATATGACTGAAACTTTGGTATCCTGTGATATATACGGTATAACGTGTTAATGTACTGGGACTGAATTTTAGAAGCCATGAGAAAGTCTTCCTATTAGTTTTACAGCAAGTTGGGTTAGAGAAAACAAAAAACTGCCAGTATGTAATTTTTATTGACAAGCACTTCAATTTTAATTAATAGTACTGGACTTTCAGAATAGGAAAAAGCATTTTCTCATAGCCCATCTAATCAAGCTTCACCTTCATTTCTTCTTAGAGACTTTTTTTCATGTGTTTTCTGGTTTTGGAAAACAGTTTGCGTAGTCAGTTAGTAGCTGACTTCTGTGTAACCTTCTGTTACAACTAAACCTAATGAAATTAATGGCATTTGGGACATTGACTTTAAGTGGTTCCAGTGGCTTTTACTGGTAGCCATAGGGCTACTGAAAGATAACCCACAAGCATTCTTCTCTTTCATACCACCTTATTGAGCTGTCACTCTTGAGACAAATGACCAAAGCGTGTTCATAACATCTGCATGCAAAGCTAGATTCTCCAGTGTATACAGAGTTATGTACCAGCTTTACAATTTTATTTACGTTTTCTCTATAGTTATGGTCCCTGTATTTATGTTGCATGGCACTATTGACTTCTATCTGCTGATTTTAGGACATTTGAAAGAGGAAATTTTCATGAAATCTCTAATGTTCCTCTTTGAAATTGTCTGCTGTCATACTTTCTTACAAGGAGTGGGGGTCCCAGATAAAAGTAAATAAATGTAATTCTCAGGTGCTTCAAGTGTAAGTGGACTGTATTTGTTGCAGCTCTGACTCATTTGCAATCTCTTCTTTTCCCTTCCTTTCTCTATACTTGCTGCATGCTGCATGCCACTCAGAGTGAGGATGAAGAAACGGATTACGATATGAATGACTCAGATTAAGTGTAAATGTCATGGTGAGCACTAGCTGCCCTAGGATTTTATCCAGATGCTTTTCTGCCCCGCCCAGTTCCTACCCCCACTAGTGCTGTTGTTTGGCTAGTCCTGGTGGTATGTGTTTGTGATTATAGTTGTGACATGGTTAGCATAGATAGAATTCCTGTTCTGGACATTGCTTCTTTGACAGAATAATTAGCTGTTATAAACTGTATTGTGATTGGTTCCTTTAAAGCTCTGCTGAGAAGAAAAGTTCTTCATTTAGATTCTAGGATCAGAATTGATTTTCGTTTTTATTTTCTGTGCACCACCTTTTCTGTCAAATGTTTTTTTATGTGTAGAGGCATCTGATACAAATTTACAGTTTACATTTTCAGTAATTGTCTGATTTGGTAATAAACTAGAAAGAGTGACTGAAGTGCAACATAGTCAAAAGATGGTCTTATTGGATAATTTTGAAACTAACAATTTTTGAATCAAGACCTGGCGAATATAAGTAAAATATAACTAAATAGTGTGATTTAGGTGCTACAGTTACATTTACCACAGGAAACAACTATCAGGGGAGGGATCAGGTCCTTTCCACTGTAGTTTGACGTCTTGTTGAAGACCAAAGTACTTTAAAAGTCAGAAGCACAAGAACACAAAAGTTGCATCTTAAAGAACAACTTTTGCAACCTCTTCCTAGCATGTCTGCAAGCACTGCTTATATTTATTCTGCTATCCAATTTCTAGAAGATAACTTATCATTGAATGTTTGGTGATACAGTGTGTGGGTAGGCACTTGAGCCTGTATAAACTGAAGATACTTACCACTGCATGGGATTGAACTCCAGCTTCTCACCTATACACCTGAACTTTTTAGCTGTAAAGCAGCGTTATACTTATCTCTGAAGTGTTGCTTCTGCATGGCTGAAGAAGAACCTACATTATTTTCTTAACTGATGCTAACAGAAACTACACCTGAGGTAGAATAAGGTCTTTTGACAAGTCTTCAGGAATTGCTGCAAGGAATGGATCAAATCTGAAGCTTTACTGAAAAAAATAAACTGGCACTGTGCTGGGATTCAATGCAAGATTCTTAAGATGCCTGAGAGATGCTATTCTATCTGCCACAGATTTATTTTGAGTGAGAAGGAACAGTTCCACATTCTGCTTCCCTAAGAAGCAATCACACTCAGGTTCCTAATATATGAGAGTTCATTCAGCACTGTTTGGAGTTTATCAGTCAACTTTGAATCTGGTGCACCTGGAGTTAAAAAAGAACAGAAACAAGAAAAAAAAATTCTGAATACGTCAGATCAGCACCAGGGTCAGGACAGTCCCCAGTATCAGTGCAGACTGGATGATAAATGGATTGAGAGCAGCGCTGCAGAGAAGGACTTGGGAATACTGGTGGGTGAAAAATTGGATATAAGCTGGCAACGTACACTTGCAGCCCAGAAAGCCAATTATGTGGTGCTGCATCAAAAGAAGCATGGCTAGCAAGTCAAGAGAAGTGATTCTTCCCCTCTACTCCACTCTCATGAGACCCCACCTAAAACTCTGCATCTAGCTGTGGGTTTCCCAGTACAAGAAAGGCCTGTTAGAGTGGGTTCAGAGGAGGGCCACAAAAATGATCAAAGAGGGACAGGGCTGGAACACCTTTGCTATGAAGAAAGGCAGAGAGAGTTGGAGTTACTCAGCCTGGAGAAGATTCCAGGGAGCTGTTATTGTGGCCTGCCAATACTTTAAAAGGGCTTATAAGAAACATGGAGAAAGATTTTTTTTTCTTTACCAGGGTCTGTAGTGACAGGACAAGGGGCAGTTTTTTTAAACTGGCAGAGGGTAGATTTAGATTGGATGTAATGGCAAAATTCTGTACTATGAGAGTGTTGTAACACTGGAACAGGTTGCCCAGAGAAGTTGTGGATGCCCCATCCCTGGAAGGGTTCAACGTTGGGATGGTTGGGGCTTTGAGCATCATTTCAAGCACTTCATCTAGTGAAAGGTGCCCCTGCCCATAGCAGGGGATTGAGCTAGATGATCTTTAAAGGTCCCTTCCAACCCAAACCATTCAGTAATTCTGTGATCTGAAGTATGTGGACAGAAGAGCATTATCAGAGAAGTCACCTGTTCAGCTAGTAGAGCATCTTCTCAGATGAAAAATTCTTCCTTGCCTGGTTCTTCTCCAGACATCCTCCTCAATCCTAGCTATTAGCAGTTTGGGAGAAGACCTGCCATTACTGTTTTCAAATTTTATTGATCTCTATTACTGTTGAGACATCTCTTGACCTTTTTGCCCAGTAAGCCACTAAAATTTTTAGGAATAGTCTTACTAAAGGGTATTTCAGGAAAAAAAAAAAAGGAGGAATTTCAAATTGCAGAACAGCCAGTCATCCTTTCAGTATATAGTAAGTACTTACAATTGCGAGAAAATTCCTGATAACTGAAATTCAGTTTCTTCTTTGGACAAAGTCACTGCCCATGACTACTAAACATCCTCTCATACAGTTTCTGAACAGAGGTGGATGAAACACCTCTGACGAGAGCTTTCTGATCAGAAATCGTTTATCCTTTAGTAAAGGTAGGGGATACAGAAAACGTACCAAGCAAAGTGTGTTAAAATATTGCCTGATCTGACAGAATTTTCTGCTTTACCTTGGGTTTACTGGCTCAGTAAAGTGTGCAAAGTTCAGCATCCAGATCTGGCTTAGCTTTATCTTATTGTATGTGTTCCTGAAGCTACATAAAATAGTTCTATTAGTCTCAGAAATACTTTTTATATTCTGGGAAAGAAGAAACTCATATGTTTAATTTTAAATTGGAAATATTCACAAAATCTATAGATCAAATATTATTTTCTAACTGCACAAGTGATTGTCTCAACCATGTTTTTGACTCTATGGAGATTGTTTCACTCACTGACTGCATTTGCTGGGTCAGACTGTTACCTGCTATGTGGACATCTACTCCAGCACTTTTATTTTCAGCTGTGATCAACAGTAAATACTCTAGGAAAGAGTTAAGTATGAAGCATTTATAAAATTAACTCCTGATATATTTCCTCACCTTGCCAGTAATGCCTGTATCCAGATCATTGTGGGAAAGCTACAATGACACTATGATACCATGCGTACGTATCAAGGGCACAGTCTTCTCTAAGTTTGTCTAATTCCTTTTGAATATATTATACTAGCAGTTGCTCAGCAATTTTCTGGGCCCAGCTTTTCCTCACAGAATTCACTAGTATCTTCCCTACAGTTTCATATGAAATGCTTTTTGCTTAGTACACATAGTAAATTATCTTCATGAAATAAGTAATGTTTGCATCTAAAATATAACCTAAAGCGTGTCATGGCCCATGGGAAACATCTTCCTGTAGTTTGGAAATTTATCAAAGTAGCTGCAGTGACATTTAGCTTCATAACTTCAAAATAATAATACTGACTTTGAAATGAAAAAAAACTTTGTATGTACAAACAGCAATTCAGGTACTGCAGGAAGTGCAGTGAGCAAGTGGATTTTTAATTTTTTTTTTTTAAGCTAACACTGAACTGTCTCTAAACTGTCCCTGAGGCACACAAATGGTGACAGGTTCTTTATGAACTCCAGTCCTTAAAAAAATCCCATGGATTTGTGCAAAGTAAGTGAGACCCTACTTGACTACAGTCACTATGAAAGACGTATTAGACTTGACAACGGACTGAGGCTGATATGTTAAATTATCAACATTTTAAAATACTAAAAAGAAAACAAATACCTAGACTTTTTCGTATTTAAAACCATACATGAAACTGCTGTGCTGTGTGAAGTGGTTGCCCACCTTTACCCTACAAGTACAAAGATTGAAATGTTTGTGTGTGCTGGCAGATTTTGTGGGTTTTGTGGGATGGAATGTGCTATGAATACTAGCATCAGGTGTTTGTCTTAATATCAGGCTACATTGGAATCATAGAAGGAAATTCTACATTGAAGACAGCTATACCATTGTCCAGGGATTGTGCATTGCTTTCTTTTAGCTTTTGAAATCGAGAGCCCTTCCAAGCAGGAGGAAAACTGTCAAAAAGCAAAAGAAAATTAAGTAATATTAGAGATACTTTTACTTACAGATTAACAGGTACCTATTTGTGCTCAGTACATTTGGAGCTTTGCTTAGTGTTTTATTTGGCTAGTGTCACAGTTGGTTCTACAGTTGGCTTAAAGGCTTCCCTGCAGTACTACACAGCCTGAGAGTTGACCTCATTAGTGCTGATTGCTGTTTGGTTTAGAGTAGCAACATGAGAAACGTTGTAGTTTGGACAGTCAGTCCTAAGACTTGGATCCTTTGCTAACTGGAGGAGCCAGAGAATTGAAACAGAAAAGGAGAAAAATAGTCAAATTGGAAGTAGAATAAGTGGTTTTCTTGTTGTATGATGCTACGGACAAGGATTGCATTAAAAGTTCAACATGCTGTGTCCTGTGTCCACAGAAACAATTGTCATGTGGACAAGGATGCCTAAAAACTTGTGAGATCTGGCATGTGCAAATAAAATTTATGTAAAAATATTTTAAAACTGTTGTCAAAGTAGTACTTATTTTCACATAGCTGATTAGTCCAGCTGATAAGCTTTGTATGTCTGAACAGTGTAGTAAAAATCTGTGAAGAAATGTAGCTGTCTGACTTTAGTTCATGCAAAGGACCAAGCCTGGTGTCGTGGTTTGAATCTATTTCAGATTTTAAATCAGTCTGTTGATTTAAATCTTGCCAGCTCATACTCTTGGCCTTTGAAAACTTCCTGTGTCATCTCATCCAGTGTGCCATTTGTGCACATTTTGAGTTGCTAGTTCATGTTTTCAGTACTGATTTATGGGACATGATTTGCAGCTGAAACTTCAGAGAGTTAAGGACATTTTCCTGGAACAGGAAAAATGAAGATTAAATTCAATTTCTAATAACGTACCAGAGTTCATTTAGCACACAGGACCTATGTATCTTCAGAACTAGGATGAGGTGAAATGGCTTACTTTTCATACCTGCTAACCCTTAAACTTTGGTTATATTAATCATACACAGTTCCTAGCAGTGATTTACATCTGTTTTCATTATGTTAGGTAGTAGGCATAGTACGTATCAATCTTTTTTCAGCCTTAAAGCACAGACTTCAGGCATGTCCTTGAACCAGTTCACTGATACTTTATCAGTTATTTGAAATAGTCATTATGCTGCTCTTTGACCTTCATGCTTTAGGGATGACATTAAGCAAATTTTCATTTATAGAATTTTTATTGGTCTGTTTCAGATTTTGCAAGAACGAGGTTCCAGGATGTGAAGACAGTATTTGAACGGTGACAATTTTTTCTCTTTTATTCCAAGACGCAGTGAATTGTCACACTGAAGAGGCTCAGCTGCAAAAGAAAAAATCTGATTTAGACAATTTTCTGTTGATCTGGGTTCAACCATTTTTGCCTATAAGCTGGTGTCAACTGGCTGAAAGCATTGCAAGATTACATAACGGGAATAGATGGTGTGGGAGTGTGCGTTAAGTTCTGGTTGTAGTGCATGGTTGTACTCTCTTGTGGGCTGACTGACACTGGTCATTTGAAAAGAAATGACCATGCACTCATATTTTTCTGAGACATGTAGCACTTAATGTCTGGTGCTGGATGACCCAATGTTGATCAGTTTGGAGACATTTTCCTACTAATCATTGTAAACATTTAAAGGACAATGTAATTGGTGCTACACACACACACACATATATATTACAGCCCACATGCAAATATTTGGGCCTACATTGTTTCAGAATCAGTGGCAGCCCCAGTTGACTCTCTTATACTGCACATTCCTCTATGGCTCTGTGACATACTCTATTATGTAATAAAAGCCTAGGAGATCAACTGAAACTAGCACGTAAAAAGTTACACAACAGACATAAGGTTTCTCTAAAGGAAAAGTGTATATATTGACTGGATTTATAGAATATTTTAATACCCAAAGGGAAGACTAAACTCAGAGAAAATGGCCTTCGTCTGAGTTACTCTTGATGTTCCTTCTGCTAAAACAGTCTCCTCCTGGAAAAGTTATGCTCCAGTCTTAGCCAGATGTTCGGAAGGAGAATCAAAATTTACTTAAAATGAACAACTGAACATTCTGTTTCTTTTGACATGTTTGTACTCATATGTGTGTTTGTGCTTTTATAAAATGCCTATAAGCATTGAACTGTGGATTATGGTAGAGATTTTTCAGGAGCTGGAATCTGTACAGAAATATGGCTGGCTAGTCCTAGATCCCTATTTCTGACTGGGATTAAAATCAACCTTGAGTGTGAACACAAGTTCATCCAATTGAAAAACTTAATTACTTCAGACATTCAGGATACTTGTAATCAATCTTTCTCTTTCTATACTGTTTCAACTATGCAGTTAAAGAACACTGTTTGAAAACATCTGGTGCAGCTTTATTAGTTTGTCTTTGATGAAGGCTAATACACAAGACTGGAGCTTTGGAGCTTTTTAATACACTATGTTTTGAGCAAAATATTTAGCACATCTTCAAAACAGTTAATGAAATGGACAGTATAAAACTCAGCTTCATTGACTTATGAAAGCAGTTGGGAGGGAGTTTCAAAAAGCTACAATATTGTTTTGAATTCTAAAGACATTACAGATTTTATTTTCAGTAACTTCAGAATTTATGGACATACTTTAGGTAATCCTTTACACAGAAGCCCAATTTTCAAACACCCAGGGTCCACTTTTTTTTTTTTTTTTTTAAAAAAAAAAAAAAAAGGACTTGCTATACATTGATAAAAGTTTGGCAGAAACAATTTGTAAAAAACATTTCTACTAAGCAGGTTAAGCAATGGGCTAAATGTTTTGTCCATGTGTCTAATGCTTGAAAAGGTTTGTAATGCATTTGCGACTTGGATGTGGTCTGCACAGGAAGCTGCTGGCCCTTCCACAACAACACATAAAATGTTTGCCTTTTTTAAAAACTGAATTGAATTTACTAAAAATGTAATTGTGTAGGGGGAAATGTTTATACTTTTATACTTTTTTAGGCACCCATATTTTGTCAGCTTAAATTTAGCACCCAAATTTCCCCTAAATAGTAACAGATTATCTTGTTTATCTGAAAATAAGCATAACAGTTGTCTGTGTTAACTACATATTAAAACATTTCCTCTGCTGCAGTAGCCACTGTGTTTTTAAACAGTATGATTCCACCAAATTCTCTGAGCTCCCTAGCTCATGGAATTGTAGCCAACCATGTTTCTTGTTTTCTTGATGTGCTCTACAGAGTATTTTGGGATTGGCCTAAGTGGGTACAATGAACCTTCTGAAACAACATTTCTGTTGTCTCTCTTAACCCCCAAAAGAATATTTTACTTCATAAAGTGAAATTTTCAAGAAAAACAGCAGCAAAGCATGAGTAACAAACTGAGCAGACTGAACAAATTCAGAATATGTAAAAGAGTGGATTTTTCTAAGTATGTTTTTTTCACTGGAGTTTTTTTCAGTTTAAAAATGTGCTTTTATGGTGAGATTACCTGCAATTTAGTTTGCATTGTATCTCTGTTGTAGCAGATTTTGGGGAAATGAGTGGTTAATCATTTTGCACTTTGTTTCCAATACCTCACAAAGATTTTAAGAAAGGAAAAAAAAAAAAAAAGAGAACTTTAATAGGCAGGTACCTTGTAAATTATTTTAAATATGCTATTGTTTGAGAACACCTGAACTAACTACTTTCCTGTTCTTGCTAATGTTATTGTTGCTTTAATTTTTGTGAACATGTGAGGCTTTGACAGATGCAAGTGCTACTGTATGCCTTTTCCAAGGCATTAAGAATTGATCCCTAAATAAGTTTTTTTTTTCTTTGACTCTTGTAATTTCAAATAAAGGTAGCTACAGTAATAAGGTTAACTGCATTAGAGTCCAATCTACATCACCAGGTTTTGCAAACATTGTTTTATCTTGCAGGATGAGGTAACATACCGATACAGTTTAAACTGGAGTCCTTTGTCTATTTCTTTTCTGTCATTTGGAGAATATTTACCTCAGAAGAACTGCCTGTTATTATGTAAATCTCATGGGTTCACTAGGGGCATGTAGTTGAAAAGCTATATTGTAAAAGCCTTTGACATGAACTCTTAGATTTACACAGCTCCTCTATTCTTAAATTAAAACAGTATTCCAGGTTAGAATTTGAAGATCCTGAGCATAAAGAGATCATAGCAGAAGAAATAAAGCAAGAAGGGAGAGATACCAAAATGTAACAGTTGATCAAGATGACATCTTATGAAAATGTAAATTCTATGAAAGATTTAGCTTTCTACTCTTTTGCTATACAGATATTCAGTGAAGCTGTTTGGCATGTTGTCCATGGAACAGGAGGTTACTTCAGCATATGATTAGTGCATTTTCAGTGAAATTCTTTAAAGGCTTTTCCATGACAAATATCTTGCAAAACTTGCTTAAAAACTGAGAAGTTCAAAATTACCATAGCAATTTCTTGCTTTGAGTTAGGAAACTGATAGCGTATTATTGGCCTTAAGTTTTGTCAGAGGCTAATTTTCTGTATTGGAGATGACGTTTTTGTGTTAAATGCTTTTGACTTCTTCAAGCAGCAATTAAATCAGTGTTTATCTGCAATGAACAAGTTATTCTGAGGCTTCCAAGACATGAATGTCACCTGGTCCATAGTAACTGTCCAGAAGTACAGTCTGACTCAGCAGCTCCCACAGTAAATGTGAAATATTTTTTTTTTTTAAACAAACAACGAAAGCTTACCTTTAATGTTCTCCCACTTACTGTGGGGTTTCCATGAATTGTGGCTAATGGCAGTTTGTTATCCCACAGTAATTTAATTGTGTGTCAAAGGCCTGATTGTATTTAGAAGCTTATGTTGATTCTCTACTAAACTTTCAGTTCTCAGAATCATGTATTCAGAAAATTTGGAAAATGTACTGTGTTTTTTTCAAATTCAACTAGGTTTCTTGTAATGATAAAAGTTCCTTTAATTTTTCATTGTAGCGTTAGTAAAAGATATTCCTTAAGAAACTGAGCTCAATGTATCCATCCAACTTTGTTGTCTTCAGATTTTCTTCAGACAGTAGCTGTTTAGCTCCATTTCTAGCAATGTCAATGCACGGTTATGATTGCTTAGAATCAGGACCATTTCCTCAAGATATCAAAATTGAATCAATCTCCTTTGAGAGAGTTTTTCTTTAGGAGAAAAATGAAAACTTCTAGCAGATTAAACAAAACTAAACTTGATTGCAGGCATGCTTAGGGAACAGGTCTGTCAAGTAGGATGATGGAGTTTTCAGAAAACTGCTTCTCAGAACAGAACACTATTCTGCGAATTTATGTTGAGGTTGCTGAGAGTTGTCAGACTCTTTTTGAGCAGTAGAGAGCTACCACCAGCAAATTAACACACATTAATTACAAATTACTATTTTTAATAGTATTACAAAAATTAACTTGGAATGCAAAAATGCAGTTGTATCTGATTGAATGAAATTACCTAGAAACTGGATTATAATGTGTATTGTTCAACCATTCAATTACACTGGAGTACATTCCTTGAGAAGTATTGAGAGAAAAGTGAAGTACTGGGCTTTTCATGATCAGTCAAGTGAAATTGTCTGAAGATGAATCCTGGGATTTTGTTCACTTGAGATGTGATAAAATGAGAAAGTGTCATTCTCCTATTTTATTCTCTCTCTCACCACATTAAAAGCATCTTTCAAGTTTTTCAAACTGACTTATTCAATCAGCCCTAAAAGGTGGGGCCCTTGAAAAGAGATGAGATTTTTTTATACCTTCAACAGTACCTGTTAACTCAGGACAATAGGATTAACACTTCCAGTGGTTATTGGAGAACAGTCTTTTTGAACACAACAATTTTGAAATACCTATGGTCTGAGGATGCTGCCTGTCACTTTGTTATAGTTTAGACTGCCATTATCTCCAGCTTTAAGGACAATCTCAGGATCTTACTTGGGTTTGTGTGTAGAATTATTGATTCTTAAAGTAGTATAAATAATCAGTTTTAAAAAAATTGTGGAAGGCTCTCTGAACTCAGTGTCATATAACTTCTCTTTCTTCTAGCTCACAACAATCAGAAGCTGTCTTTAAAGGCTTCTTACTGAACCAGGGCTTTAAAGGGCTAAAGAAATCTTATTGTCAGACAGAAGGAACTCTTTCCATTTTCAGTGCAGAAACGCTAAGGGCTAAAATCCTTTCCAGAGCTAATTTGAAGTCCTGGAGATATATAATGTTTAAGAAGTAGCTAGTCTGTTTTTCTTTCAACTCAAAGATTCTAGAATAATTTTTACAAATGGCTGAACCAGTTGCCAGTGTAAGCATTCATATATGGCTTGAAATTTCAGTATCCATCTTGGTAAGGAATACACTAGAGAAGACAATACACTTGCCCACCACTTTATTATTGCCTGTGCTGAAATTTACCAACTTTTATAAAGAGCCCTGGCAGCAGAGAAAGTTTGAGGAAGATTCTGCCCTAGGAAATTGTCACTGAATATTTCATTGCAACTTAGCTGTCCTTTAACAAGGTCTACCAAGGCATTAACTTCTCAAAAATTCAGTGAATAGATACTGCTGCAAACATAGCTTTCAGGGCCCATCAACGGGTTCTCTTTAGGATGTTATGGGTTAATAACTGGTATAATGAGAGAAACTTTTTAAAAAGTTATTTTGCTGCTTTGGGGGTGGGTGGAAGGGGAGGAAGTTCTGTGACAGTGTTCTCCTTGCTTTAGAAAGGTGAGCCTAAATTTTGACCTGACTTAACACCTGTTGAGATTTCCAGGCCTGGTCATCTGAAATGTAAGAGTTAATGTATTTATGTACATGATTCTTGCTCCTTTTGAAGATTTTCCAAAACCTTATGCTCAACTTCTCTCAAACTTAACTTGGCTCGTGTACTTGCTAGGATGAAGCAAGTGCTAAGACAGTGTAAGAGAAATGTTGCCAACCTGTCCACCTGGAACTGAAACAAGATCACCAAACTGAAGGAGTATCATATAGCAACTATTTCCACCTGCTTCTGTCCTGAGCCTCATCTGAGTCTAGCTATGAAAAAATCTATTTTCTTTGGACTCTCTAGTGCCACCTACCGAATTCAACAAATGTTCTTTTTTTGCCCTTTTCCCCCCAAATCACTGGTCTCAAAATTAGTTGTGCATCAGCTGTTTCTGTTAATATCTAAGTGGCCATACTTTCAACATGTTATTTCCTGGATAGTGGGTTATCAATAACACTTTATTTTGTGCCAATTCATTATCTCTGAAGTGTTCTTACTGCAGCAAAGTTTGAGTTTTGATCTGGTTTTAATGCTTTTGCATTAGACAAAATTCTTAGCACAGACATACTCAAGAAACTGAATACATGGAATTTCCCTGCATAAAAATCTGCTAAAGCTTCCCAAATCATTTAAAGATGGTTACAGTTCACCATCATTTTTAAAACAAACATACAATGAAAATGTGTGTGGGTATTTTTTTAACCTCCTTTTCATAACACTAGCATACTGTAAATTGCATGAAATAAACCTGTTTTTTTCCCTTTTGAAGTCTGATGTCTTAAATCTTTCTTTTCTAAATCCATTAATGTTGACATTAACAGTGTATTATCACTGATATTCCTAGTTTAGCACTTCAGATACAAAACGTGGTTGCATTCTTGTGCAGTGATTCAAAGCAGTGTATCCTTTTCTGCTGCCCAGAAGACTTTGTCACAAAAAAAGTCATGTTTATTCAGATACGTATCTGCTGGGAAAACAAGGTATTTTCCCTTGCATTTACTATGACTGTTGCTGATCATTATAATAGAAAATTAGGAAATAGTGCTCTCTAGTATGGATAGATAATGACACAAAAAAACACGTACCAAGTTTTAACTAATCACTTTGCATACATTTTCTTTCATGCAACTCACAAATCACCCTGCCTAACATCACAGGTTTATTTTAGAATCCAATGCCTTGCTTTTTAATATACATGCTTATTTTGTCTGAAAAATTAAGCTAAGTGAAATTGACACTTTGTAATAAGGCCAACATATAGTATAAGAAGCCACTTAGTACATGTTTGCTGCAAACGTTTTAAAAACAGAAGTGGCCGAAGGAAGAAAATGATGAAGTATGAAGTAGAGGTTGCTGAAAATATTCAGGTAGTTTGACAGTTGTGCCCTCTACAAGTATCGAAAAGTTCATAATTCAGTATTAGTATTGAGAAGACCACTGGACTGCTCTGATTTTCCAAACTGCTAATAAGAATTAAGTATGAGAAGCTAAGACCTGTGAGTTCTAAAATCTCAGAGGCTGTACAGTTACATGAGGTGAGTTTCATCTTAACAGTTTAATCAGTTTAAAATGCAAAGTATATTCTAACCTTTCCTTATATATTCAGCAGCTTCTGTAAAATGTTGTCATTTTACTAAACCAATTTCCTGCATTTGAATTTTACTAAAATAAGTCCTAAGTACAAACATTGCTTTGGTAGAAATTAACTAATCAATGTGTGCATCTATATTTTTATCAGACTCTTACTAAAAATATTTGCACTTTACAGTCAACCAGCACTGCTCTCAGTTAAAATTCCTACTATACATATCTGTAGCTTCATGTGTCTTCACCAGGTAGCAAAAGTGAGAGCATAAAAGGGACAACTGTGTACCCTGAACCAGAAACCAGTTAATAAAGGGGACATAAACCAGTAAGTCATCAACATCCTCTTTGGATCTTATATAACATTTAGAGTTTATCTGGAGCTAGCTTTCCTTTCAGTAGGAAGTTTCACTTCATAATGATAAAAATGACCCTGAAAATCCATCTTTCAGTGTGCTAAAGTCTTGCCCGTCAGTCATAAACAAAAAGTCCATATTCATGATGTTCTCTGAGACTGCAATCTGCACAATTTCATGAGATAAATCCTGTGAGTGGTGTGTTAACTGTTTCCCCTAAAACCCACTGATTTTGATAATGTCACTGAAATCACCAGGAAAGGTATACAGGGGAGTACACGTTTGTCCTGGTTCTACTGTAGGAATGTGCTTCTGACAAAAGATTTCTTAGTTAGAGCGATCTTTAGCCTGATCTGATATAGCCATTTTTGCACTTTAACAGCCCTGTTGAAAGTCTCTATTCCAAATTAGTGCAAAGACACCACCAGGCATTCCAGATACATTTTCACCATGTAACATGCTGCTGAGATGGCATCCAGTAACCGCCTAGTGAATCAGCCTGCTACTGGTGTTTTTAGTAAGATGTTTGAAACTCCCCTCTTTCCCCAAGTCATTTGTGACCGTCAGAATGTTTTCTGTACACACAGCTGCTAACTGTCCTCCATCTCTTCGCCAGCACTTACTAGTTCAAAGGAATAAAGAAATTAAGGCAGATGCTGCCATAGGTATCCATGCATTAGGAGAAGAGAAAGCTAAGCAGGAACGAGGGCCCACAGGAAGGTATGTATCCTATTTTACATCCTTGTGATACGTAATTGGCTAAAGCACGAACATGAACAGGAAGTGTTCATTCCAAGATAACATAATTACTGTTAAATAACTTATTTATGGAGAGGCTAAATGAGGAATTGAGAATAGGGCAAGTGGTCCAAGTATTTCATTTGTTTATATGAAGGTGCAATCATTATTTTGCATTCTTAAGCATTTCTGTGATATGTCACTTTCCGTATTTCTCACTGCAATAGGAAGATGTTGAAACTGCCTACCTGCATGGGAGGAATTGGAGCCTAGGCCAGCCTTCAGCAGTGGAGGTGAATCCAAAGACTGAAAAGACAATTTCAACTCTTTCTTTACACTTGGTAGATGTGCAATTCCATGCACAAACTTAGACGCATCCTGGAATGAGAGGTTTCTTTGATGATGTACAGCTGTTGCAAATGTCTGTGGAAGCCTGGAAGCAGCTCATCCTTTTCCACCTCTGATGGCAATGAAGTCTCTTAAAAGCATTAGCTACTTGACTCACTTTTGAGATTTAAAACAAAGATCTTGCTATGTCAGGCAATACCCATTGCTTCACTAGTTCAGTGGTTTTCATGAGACCAGCCTAGAAGTAAAAAAACAGAATACTCACCTTCTCCATCCTTCCTTTAGGACTCAAACCCAAAATAAATATAACAAGAATAGGGGGGGAAAAAAGCCTGAAAAGAGCTATAATGGACCACTCGGCTTGTCCCCTTGGCTAAAAGCAGGAGCGGCTACAATTAAAACACCTTTGAAGCCCCAAGTGTTGGAGACTCCGTACCCATGCCCTCCCCAGTAGGCAGCCTAGTGTTGTAGTATCTTTGCCAGTTGAAGGATTTTTTTAAGACCTCACTTCCGTTTTTCTTACTGAAGTTTAAACTGATGACATCTTTCCTTCTCCATTATGGACATGAATCATAGATTACTGCCTTATCCGGTGTGACAGCCTTTCATTTTCTCAAAGATGGTTTAAAGCTCCATGTTGTGTACATCATGTTTGAAGTGAGACAAAAAGCAAAAACAAAACCAAACCAAAAATTTAAGTGGGAAATTAAAAAGCCAAATAGAACAAAGTATAAAAAAATCCCATCCAGCAATGTCTAGATTCATTCTGCCAGCTTTAAGTGCCAGCTGCAACCGAATTCCATTTGCCTGGGGTTCTGAAGAAGCAGAATCCCTCTAGTAGGTGTTTTAATGTGCCTAAGATGAATTGTTCTTGCAGATGGCTGCTCACTGGGTGGGGGGTTGAGCGACAAGGTTCCTAACTTCAGCATAGATTTGAATTGGCCCTAATCAAAATTCAAGTAATTATTTATTAAAATAGTTAATTCTAGAATTTCCAAGAAGAGAAACCATTTTGAACTTGAATACTACATAGAACATAGTTCAAGAAACATCAATAAACACAGGCCAGTGCAAGTTATGGCTATGTGGAGATTTCAGGACTGAAATTAATTATGTTTCATTAAAATTTGAAAAATAAGTCAAAGTCAAGAACAGAGTGTGATTCATACCTTATATGCCACTACGTGCCAATCTTAGAAACCAAAAACCCACACATACATACACATACACAAAAATCATAGCGGGAAATAAAAACCACGGAACATAAAGCATGCTGCTTCTTAAGAATTAGGTAAAACAAAAGCAGATTTGAGCCAAACACACAACTAAAGACTGCACCAAAGGAAATAACAGTAAGTCTCTGCGCTTTCCAGCGCCTCACGGACCCGGGGACAGCCCTAGACCGACGGTCAAGAGGGATGGTCGCTTATGGCACGGCCGACAGCAGCAGTGCGGCTCCTCAGCCAGTCCTAAGCTTCCTGCCGCCCCGGAGCGGCGGGGAACCAACCGCCGGTAGCCGCCCTGGAGGGACGGGCCCGCCCGGCGCGGGGACAACCCCACGGCGCGGGGACATAACCCCACGGCGCGGGGACAACCCCACGGCGCGGGGACACTCCCTGACGCTCCGCCCACGGCCGCCGCAGGCCCCGCAGCCGCTTGGCCCCGCCCCGCCCTCTGCTCCCTCTGACAGGCTCTCTCGCCTGCTCATCACCTGCGAAACCCCCGCCAGGGTCAGCGCTCCCATCCTCCAATCAGAGGCCCGGCTGAGCACAGGGGGTGGGGTTCGGCCAGGCTCGAGCGCGTCCCGGGGCAGGCGCGGCCTGCCAGACCCGTGCTGACGCCCTTCGACGGAACAGACCTTTTCGGGGCGCAGGTGACTCTCGGCGCCCGAGGTAAAAATTTACTCAGTTCCTCAACGGGGGCTTGTGGGAGCCGAGGGGCACGAGGAAGTGATTGGGCTTGGAAAAGCCCTGCTGGGATTCCTTTCTGCGCTCTGTGCTCAGGCATTGTTCTGGTCACCTCTGGGTCCTGTGTCGCAAGGATGCGTAAAGCGTGGCGGACGGATCGCTCTCGGGGTCATACGGCGCCGGCGTAGCGGCACGGACGGGTCGGGCCGAGGGACATACAGCACGGCCGCGCTCCGCACTGAGGAAAGAGGGAGGGAAACTCCGGACCAGAGACAAAGGGGGGGGAGCCGAGCCGGGAACATCCGGGTCATTCGCTGCTGCTTCAATCCGGGACACGCGCGGGTGCTGCGGCGATCACGGTGAGGCCTGGCCGGGCGAGGGCCTGGGACGGCGGGGCCTGGCGCGGCGCACAGGCGGCCCCGGCCCGTGGGAGAGGGGGCCCTGGGCTGGTGCTCGCCGCCTGCGGCGCGAAGGGACGAGCAGCCGCGGGGCATGCGGGCTTGGCGGCGGCCGCGCGGCTGGGCCCGCCAGCGCACCGTTGCCCGCCTGAGGCGGGCTCTGCGCCTCTCGCGGCCCGCCCCCGGAGGTCTCGGTCGCCGCGGGCCGAGTTCGCCGACGTCTGGGTACCACCGGGCCTGCGCGAGGCCGTCCCCGCCCCGACGTGCGCTTTCCTAGGAGCCCGCGGCGGGCGCCGGGGTGCCCCGTGCAGGCCTCGGACGCTGGCCCCGGCCCCTTGGCGGGGGCAAGCGACGCTCAGCCCTGCGCGGCTGCTCTGGGCGAAGTTACTTGGCCGGTTGGGCACCAAGACCTATTGCCGCGCGGCTCCTTTTGTTGTTCTCGTCGCGACTCTGGTAGCCGTTTGGCTAGTACCGCCTCTTCCAACCTTTTTCATGCCGCAGGCAGGAGACTTTCTATCCCAGTCCCCAGTTATCATACTTTAATTAAATCTCAGCCTTTGGCTTTCTCCACCCTTCTGAAAAGTGAAGTTTGTGTAGGTTTGGGGTAAACTACTCCAGTTGGTAATGTCTTCCCGTGTCGGCATTTAACCTGCAAGTAAAAATGTCAGGCCAGCAATCTTAACGATTTTTTTTTTTTTCTTGCTGTTCGGAATTAATAAGAGCTATTGAAAGTTCCTGAGACTAAAAAAGCATGGTGTTGTGTATTTGGAGGCTTGTCATGGGTCAGAATTGTGGGTGCGATTGCTGTTCCTGTGGCACAGGAATGCTGCTTTGCAAGACTCACTTTTTGAGTTTGGAAATAGATTCCCTCCTCTCCTCTGCCCCCATCAAGGGGTATGGATGGGTAAAATGATCTATAATGGAACATAAAGTTTGTGCCTTTGATGAGCATGTTGGTTTGGTTTTGTCCTATTTTCCAAAATATGTAGTACTAACAGCAGCAGAGGCAAGCTACTGAGAAAATTTGGAAGCTTCTGTTAATTTGCGAATTAGCTGATAGCAGCAAAAGGGACATTTTACCTCTTAATTTTGGGGTGTGTTTGAGGGGATTAAAACCGAACAAAATGTGAAGACTGGTCTCTTAAGCTTGCGTGGCCCCTGCAAGGTAGGGTTGATATACTTCTTCCAGTACAGAAGTTTGTGTTCTTTTCAGTAATGTAGTGCATAAATATGTTGAGTCTTCAGGTCTGTTCATTAGCAGTACATTTCTCAGGTGAAGAAAAGAAATTAAATGTTCTATTAAAAAAAAAAGCAAAACAAACAAACAAACCCAAAACTCTAAAAACTGGGGTATTTGGAGTTTTTTTGTTTATGTGGTTTTGGTGGTGTGTGTGGTGTTTGGGGGTGTGTTTGTTTTTTTTTTTTTTTTTTTATTTTACCTATTTCAGGTTATTAGGGAAGTCTTGCATTTATGAGGTATTTCAGAAACTTACAGGAACTAAACTTAACATAGATAATCAGGTAAACTACTGTTCCAAATGAGAGAGAAGGGAAAAAAAAAAAATAACCAAACAGTCCATGCACGTAAATTATTGAAGAAGATCAAAGTAACAGTGAGAATATTTCATCCTCACTTTTAATACCCACTTAATATCTCACTCCTTCCTGCTCCTCCGTAATTTCTGAGACCAAAATGTATACCAAGATGATCAGTCTCTGTTTGTCCTATCTCAAGCTCCAGCAGAACTAAAGTTAAATTAATTTACTGAAGATCTTCTAGATAGTATATATTGGTGATTTGTTACTAGATTGACTTGCTTTTGAGAAGGTGCTTACCTAATGGGATCTTAATTTTTCAAGTGGGCTTTCAGTCGTCTTTGTCTCTAATCTCTACTTGGTAGTACTTTGATGAGGTTTTAGATGCTTGTCCGCCCTTGTCAGGGTAACTGAAGCCTGTGGAGACCATATACAATGAAATTTTGAATGTAGTCTGTCAGTGCTTAACAAATTCAAATGACTCAAGATTTGAAAAGATAAAGAACATAAGAAAATCTTTAATTTACTAGGACACAGTATAATGCATAACCAGTTGCAAAAACAAGCAGGATACAGAGCCTGAAAACTTGGGGTTTTTCTGTTGAGAAGTCATTGGACTGATGATGTTCTGTAGGACATACGTTGTTTATATGCCCTCTGAGAAGTTGGCATTTCCCTTGAGGTCCATAGAATTAATTGGCTGTTAGCCACAGGAAATATAATTCATGTATTCGAAAGTATCCTGTAATATGTTTCTTGGCAGAGAAGGTAGCTGAGTTACTAAACTACCTTAAGAATACTTGAATGGTTTATAAGCACAAATAATTTTCTCAGATTATTATGGGAAGGTTATTATTAGAGTGGGCCATCAGGTACTAACAGCACAACTGAAATTCTGCCATATATTCCTTAATTCATTTACACTTGTTGCAAAGGCATGAGCTCACAAAGTATTTAAAATTACTCCCTCTATGATTTGGTTAAGGGATAGGGTTTTTTTTGTTCTGATGGTATCTTTTCAGTGGCTCCACATCTCCTGTGTGTGAACAGACTAGAATCTGAAGTGGTATGTAGTTTCTGTTGACTAAATCCTGCAAATCTTCTGACATAACCAAGATATGGATACATGTGTTGGGAATACTAGAGGAATATTGGACTGAATATAGAGGGGTTTTTATGTGCGTGTTTACTGAGTGTTAATGGTCCCTTTTAAAAATCTATGTCTGGCAGGAATTTAATCGTTAATTGAAGTTAAAATTATGGATTATGGCCATACATAAAAAAATGACTTTGAAAAAAAAGCTAGAAGGGGGACTTTGAAATATCAACTGTCCTAGGAATTGCATAAAACTCTTAATCTGGTGCTTTTTAAGACTTTTAGTTAAGGTGTCTGCACTGTTAAGCCACTTTTGATGATGTGTAAATACTTAAATTGGAAGCGTCTTCTAATCTTTAAAGGGTATGGCAGATGAACATGAAATGAACACATCAACATATGTAACATGGAATAGGTATGTGCCTGGTAAATCTTTTCAGCATGAACATCCTGCTAAAGGGCACAGCGTGAACATGTGAGATTTTAAAAACCGGGGTCTTTGAGCTACAACTCATATTGTTGTAGTAGACTGCAGTGCTCCTACAAGTAATCTACATATTAATGGAATGTGAATTTTGAATAATTCTTAACCAGTGTTTAAATGTTTGTTTTAATAGGGTGTTAACAGTCCCTTCATTAAATATGTAAGTTTGTTTAGTGGAAGAATTCTACTCTCCTGGCTGTCATAAAGGCTTGGTAGCTGTGTATGGAGTTGAGAACAAATTGGCTTGACTTCTCCAACTGCCAAGTATCAGCTCTTGTTTAAAATCAGTAGAAGTACAGTAGGAAGGAGGATTAAAAGCCTTAATTGGAGTTGGTTTTGGCCATGCGGCTAATGAAACCCTGAGTTTAGATACAGTTTGACAATGAAAAATAAACTCTTGCTTTGATTACTGTTCTGGGTGAATGGGGAATCTTCCCCTGAGTTTGAAAGCACCACTCTGTTGCGGGAAGGTGTAGAAAGGTCACTCAGTTTATACTGGAATTGAAAACCTGCCTTGTGGAATGAGCAGGCCACTGGCTCTTCTTTAGCTCAGTTCTGTATTGCTGTCTGTCCGTACCGCTGTCTAGAAGTTGTATAGTGCCATCGCTGCAAAACTAAGGTGATTTTGTGTAGAGTACTGGGTTTCAATGGAATTTACAATCTAAAAATAACATTTCTTATTCCCCTATTTGCCAGAAACAGGAGCAGTACAGGTGTTTGCCCACAGAAGAAAGCCATACCTTTTGTGGTGTAGTACAGGGATAGATAGGTGTTTCACTTGCACAAGTAGGAAGTGTGAGCACTTTTCCCATTACTAATAGCGTTTCTGTTGTCAAGCTACTGTCAAAGTCATTTCTAAGATGTGGTTCAAATACAAAACACAAGGTGAAGATAGTATTTTGTAGGTCAAGTCTAGTAACTAAGAGGTTGTTGATGTGGGGAAACTTGGTGTTATTCCTGATGTTAACTTCTGCAGGGTGTGTAGAAATGTGTGTGTTGGCTATAGTAGTGAAAATCAGAGGCCAGAATATTTCCTGAGTTATCAGGGCTTATAAACAGGCAATATAATGGGTTGTTTACACTGTAAGTAAAAGTTTATACTAAAAGTAATTATTTTTGTTTTAGAGGGATTCTGAATATGTCTGGCATAGCTCTTAGCAGACTTGCACAGGAGAGAAAAGCCTGGAGAAAAGATCATCCATTTGTAAGTATGAGAACTGTCAAAATCTGACTCTACAGTTATTTTGGTGTTATGATGATGATTTTTTTTTTTCTTTACCTTGATGTGATTTTCTTTTTTTTTTTTTTTTGTTTTTTTTTTTTTTTTTTTTTTTTAAATAAAAAAAAGCTGATAAAACTATGTAGGGCAGAAAGAAGTAACTTTGTGTAAAGATAAAGTATGTCATGAAGTATTCTAAGTACATCTTCTGAAATCCTCACCCTTTGGCTTTTTGCCTTAATTCAGGGATTTGTAGCAGTACCTACAAAAAATCCAGATGGCACAATGAATCTAATGAACTGGGAGTGTGCTATTCCAGGAAAGAAAGGGGTAAGACTTACTGTTGTCTTAACATCTCACTTATGGTGAAAAGTAACATAAGCCTGCTCATGTGTTACACTGACAAGTGACTATATAACTTACATGTAGTTTAATAGAAGTGCTTGGATCCTGCTGCTGCTTTTAGAGTCCAAGTGGAGTGGGCTAAGAATGATATTGGACAAAATATACCACGGGCCTGTGCAACTGTTGGCACTGTCTGCCTTAAGAACAAGTTTTCAGAGGAGTGTGGAAGAATCCTGCATTGAGTAAACTTGAGAATGTCATCTGCTTTATGCCAGGGTTTATTGTGACTTCTGTTCTTAAAAGCTGGTTTAAGCCCTAAAACTTGAAAATTAATACTACCAAAATGTTGCCTTTGCTGGTTAACTGCTGGTACCTTTTTTGTCCACAAAACAGTGAGACACTTCAGACCTAGAGAAGTGCTGTAGCACTGGTTTTAACTTTGTGGATTTCATGGAAAATAATTCTGCGCTATCAACATGGAAGAACTCTCTAACATTGTTTCTTATCTGATATCACTTCTGCTTCTGTGTCCCTTTCCTTAAAATAACAAGAGAAAGGAAAAAGTCTGTAGAGACCAGAACTGTTTGTCAGCTTGATCTGGTTTTAGGGGATAGGTCAAACACAAACTTTCAATTGGGAAATAATAATTAATGCATGAAACTTCTTTGGTTTTGGTTGTTTTGTTTTTTTTTTTGTACACGGTCATAACATCTCATTCTGAGCAGAACCTAGTTTCTCTTTTTCAGAATGTTACTTAGCATGTAGATATTCTTTAATTCATTTTATGCAGTTGTTTGTTCTGAGATAATACTATTAATTGCTCGGTGGTTTTCATTCTTTTGGGTCTTTAGTGTTTTCTATTGGATGTGGGATTATTTTATTCCTTTGCCTGTTCTACTGCCTTTTGCCAACTTGTTTAAGATCTCATTTCCTAAATTCTGAGAAGACACAGTGTGTAGGTAAAACCTGTGGATTCTGTACTACTGCCTCAGCTTAATGCTGAACGTGGCATTGCCATTATTGTTTTAACACTATGGCAGTTGACAGCACAGCTCAAGTTAGTTCTTAAAGAAGCACCTAGAACTGATTTAACAGTGTAAGGAAAAACTCATCCCCTTGTGTTCTGTCAAAACAAGATTGTCCCTCATAATAGACAGTTATGTGCCTTATCAAGATATGACCTTTAAATACTTATGTAAAACCTTCACTGCCATATGAAATCTTCATGCTATTGCTTTACAGTTTTGTAAACCACAAAATGGAGCACGCAGGATCCTTAAAGCCAACTTACTGCCTCCTAGCAAACACATCACACCAGGAAAAGATCAGTTATGCTCATGTGATTCCTGGTAGACATTTATTTTTAAAATTCCATTTTTTTCACTCATGTAAAAATGCTTTAACAAGAAGCAGCATGCCTTGCCCATCTCTACCAGACCAACTAGTTGTTCTCTGTTGCCTTTGTGTTTGAAGGCATGCTGTACTGCAGCTGCTTGTTCTGAGATGGATGAGTAGTTGAAACCACCAAAATGCTTTCTTGTCAGCCAGATCCAAGACTGAAGTGGTGTTAGTGGAGGGCTGGATATCTCCATTCACTTTTTTGGACAGCAAATCACTTGTTAACTACCTAGAATTTGACTTGAACATCTGCAGCCTGTCCAGTAACACAACTCGATCTTGATGATACTGCTGTCATATTATTATCTTAGTAAAGCTTTTGAGCATCTCCAGTCTTTCATCCGTAATTTATGTTGCTCTGTCAGAAAGACAGTAAAAACTTTTTGTTGACTGTTCTGATGTTCTTCTTGAAGAAATTATTAAAAGCTATTTGTGTTCCCCTATGACTGAAAGCAAACAAAATAGGAAAAGTTTATTTTATCAAAAGGCTCCTCTCTTAAAAATGGACAAGTTTGTCTCCTATGAGAAGGTATGGAGAATAGCTATTTCTAGTAACTGACAACTGACTAGAGCTGTTCAGAACAAGTTCTTTAAATACACTATAGCAAATGTAATCAAACCCATTTGCTTTTTAAAGTGTGGCTATCTTAGCATTCCATAGCATGTTTGGGGTGGGGGCTTCTGTGTGTTTTGGTTTGGTTTGTTTTTTTTGTTTTTTTTTCTCCCTTTTTGCTTTTTCTTTCCCATAAAAATCACATAATCCAGGTAAGAAGGAATTAGGGATTTCTTCCTAAGGTGATCTTCAAACATGCCTGTCTGCCCCTGAGGATAAGATTTGATCATTTATGCTGTTAAGGTGTGAGACCATCTTTACCTCAGTTTGTTTTAAAGAATGAACCCAACACTTACTTTCATTGCAGTGTTTTCTTGGCAAGGGCATGTTACAGAGAAGTGGTCTGAATTTTACATACACAATAAATTTTTCTGTGTTTCTACACTTCTTACCAGAAATCAGTTTGTCAGAAGGTGTGCTTTTTTCCTTATTTACAAGATGACAAGGAAGTATGTATCTGAGATGGGCTTTTTGTCCTTTGCTAGATGTTTTTCTGTAGTTATATGACCCTTTGAGTAGTGCTGTCTTATTTGGTCTGCTCTGTAGCATGGGAAGTGCTCCTAGCAGCGCTCTCCCCAGTTTCTGACGGAGATAAAAAGCTTCTTGGAATTTTTGTTACACAAAAAGATGGAATCTGTGAGACTACTTGCTACCAAATGCAGGCAGTTAGTTTGGACTAGTGAACCTCCTATTAACTGTAGCAGTACTACAGTGCTGTCCAATTTTTTTTTTTTTATTAATTTCTGGTTTTCTTAGCCACGTTCTCGTGAGGCAAATAAAAGCCTTTTACATCCATGTGCTTAAGGGGTGTATCCATATCCTATCTTCTCAGACCTACTTTAAGTGGGGGTATAATGGCCCCTTCCTCATTGCATGTGTATCAGGTAAAACTTCAGAAGTATTCTGTTCTTCTGTGTACTCTGAACATTTTTCTTGTATATGGAATTACTGGCATTGATCCCGATTGTACTGATGATCCAGCAACACTTACTAGCTGTAACAAAGGAGAAAAGCAGGGTTTTCTTTTTTCAACTCCTTGTATAGGTAGGATACCTTGTCTCAGTCTAGACAGCATGCTCAGTGGAGGAGAGATATTTTCTACTGTGTAGCAGAAGGATGTTTTGTGCTTTGCTTGAAAAACTGTATTCTTGATAAGCTTTTTTCCAGAAGTTTGACTTACCCTTGTTGTAATCTAAACTTTACGTTAACTTTTTATAGACACCATGGGAAGGAGGCCTATTTAAACTAAGGATGCTTTTCAAGGATGACTACCCTTCCTCACCTCCAAAATGTAAGTAGAATGACTAAAAACATGGGTTTATTAGGACAGTGTTAAACTACTCAATGAGGTTCTATGAATGATTATTATTTTGTTACAGATTTTTTTAAAGGAAGGTTGCTTTTTCTTTTTTTCCTCACCTAGTACTTCTGCATTTAGAAAGCTGTGATGAAATGAGTTAAATGCTCAATATAACAAAATTGGAGGGGGGGGTTGATGTGTGGCTTTCCTCAAAGCCTGACAAAAGCACCACTTGAAGTTTACTACTTCATCAGCACACTTTGGAAACTGTTAGGTAGCTACAGTTAGACCAAGTCTCTTCGTGTTGTTACTGTTAAGTTGGTCTTCTAAGCCAAGAACTCAGAAGGCAGAAACTTAGAAAAGATAATAACATAAAAAGAGTTCCATCAACTTTAATCTTTTCATCAACTGGCTCCAAAATACGGATCTGTTCTTTTTCTGATGCTATGTACAACAGATATCTTCACATACTTGGTTTCCTTGTTAAGTTTTTTAATTTCCCTTATCCCATCTCAAATTTACCTACTTTAGAAATCTGAAAACATCTGTTGCCTTGTCTAGCTTCTTGGTTCTTGAATTGGCTACCATCTCAAATCAATGACAGTGATTACAAATGGCTCTTTTGACAGCAGTTCATTTCTCACTTCGTTTTAGTGATTCAGCTGTATTGGTTGTCTTGGCTACTCCTTTTGTTTGTTACCACCAAAACACATGTGACACAAGGGGAAACTTACCTTCTAACTAGAAAATACTTAACAGGAATGAGTATCTTGAGAAATACCAACTAGCACATCCTGCAAGTGTTAGATGAACTGTCATGCCTTATAAGATATATGTGACTGGTAGGATTTCTTACAAGTGCAGCTTCTGAGTTCCTACTGAACTTCACTGAGTAGCCAAGCAAGACATACTTGCTTGTGATGTCAGATGGATTAGAAAACTGCACTAATGTGGATATTTCATACAGTGCTAAACAAGCACTCATTACATTAATCAAGATGGTGGCTGTTGCATTGAAGTCCTGTAAAGATTAAAGAAATGCCAGAATATAGATTGAGAGGCAGAAGGAGAGCAGCACAACTCTACTGCTTCAGTCAGTCTCACACCTTAAACTGGTTGCTTTTGTTCAGTGCAACTTGATTATACATAAAGTGAAACTGAAAAAAAAATACTAGAAACTTAGTCTTCTTGGAACTTTCAGTATTTTAACGTGAGAAGGGTGGTATCTTTCCTATATATAGTATGTGAGGCTGTAAAGGCAGCATTGGTTTAAAAAGGTCTCTTACAAAGCTGGAGTTATATTGCTTGGATTGATATACCACAGATGTGATAGAGTTCCTGCTTTAGGTGCAGGCTGAGCCAAGAAGAAATCCAGTATTAATAGCTCCAGAAATTTCTGCGGGTTTTTTTTGAGGGGGTGGTGAGGGGGGTGTCTTTGGCCAGGTTTGGGGTTTTTTCCCACTGTTCTAAACCCACTCTTCGATCTTATTCTTAGCACTGCATGCAAGTAATTATCTCTTCTTCATCAGGTAAATTTGAACCACCATTATTCCACCCAAACGTGTATCCTTCAGGCACAGTGTGTCTCTCCATCTTAGAGGAGGATAAGGACTGGAGGCCAGCAATCACAATTAAACAGGTCATTAATTGTACTTAGACATATTCTTAGTCCTTTTATTTGCTTTGCTTGCTTATCTGATGTGAATGTAAGATGTTCACTGTGTGTTTCTTCAGTTGGTTTCTAGGGTTTTTTTAACTAAATGCCTCTTAGTAATATCCATGCCTATGTTACTTCTTTTCCCTCTTCCACAGATCTTGTTAGGAATACAAGAACTTCTAAATGAACCAAATATACAAGACCCAGCTCAAGCAGAGGCTTACACAATTTACTGGCAAGTATCTTTGTGTATCAGCTTGAAAGCTGTCATATTGCCTACAGCTGTCTGTACGTATAACATGCAAATGTTTTTTAGGAATGATCAGGGGAATTTTCTTACCTTCATGGCTGTATCCTGTGGAGATGCCTAGCTTGTGCTAAACTTGAACAAAACAGTAACTTCATGGTTAATAGGCTAGTGGAGCTTTTAGAAGCATCACAACAGCAATAACATGTGAAGACTTCTTCAGTTAGACCATGATTCTCACCCTGATTCTAGCCCAACATAGAATCCTTTCCCCTAAAGACTGAGTAGTAGAGATGAAGCATAATGATTTCATGAGACCAGTGATAGAGGAGAATGAATTAGGCAACAAATCCTATTCATCAGTATAGGAGTAACTTCTGTCCAGTAGTGGGTACCTATAAGCACTTGTGCCTGAAGGATAAAGGAGAGCTGTGATTGCTGTAGGAAATACGCAGCACTTTATGAAAACTAGATCTTCCAAAAGAATAGGTTAAAAAGTGCAGAAAGCTTGTAGCTTTAGCAGAATGAAGTTTGTATTGGTTAGGAAAGGTGATAGGTTGTGAGCCAAAAAGTTCTTTTTTTTTTTTTTTTAGGCTTAATCATAAAATTTTCCCACCATTAAAATATGGATTACTGATTTAGAATCTTTAGGGGAGCAAAACACTTTAAACAAATGGTTTTGGCACCGATGGCTACTGAAATAATGACCAAGATGGAAACGTGGAATTACCATTCTAGACAAAAGAACACCTCTCCAGGAGAGTGCCAAGTTTGACAAATGGCATTTTATGAGACTTCACATATAAGCTATGTCAAAAATGTCTGTTACAGGATCCTAGTGAAACAGAAACATAGGGATGGATAGTGTGTCTTGGATCTAATTAAAGGCTTCGCTCAATTTTATAAGTATCTACTGAAGATCTGGTGGGACTGAGTGCATATGGAGGACAGTTAGGTGGCCACAGTTGTAGGTAGCACCTTTGGGAGCCAGTAATGATGAGGCAGGCCTCCGCCTGCTTTTTTTTTGTAAAACTAGTCTAAGAGAATATGGGAGAAGAATAATATACTTTTATACATGTATAAAATAGTCTGTGTGTCTTATTTATCACTTCCCACATGCATGTATGTACAAAACCAGTATTTGCTAGTCTTGATTCTGCTGTATTGTAAGTGCTTCTAGAAAAAAAAAAATCTGAGAATAAGCTATAACATGTTTTTTGTTACTTGAAATATATAGTCTCCCATTTATCATCTTCCTGTCTTTTGGACATGCATAGTATTTCAGATGGGTTACTGTATTTCTGCAGCCTGAGAGCATGTGTGTCTTACTACTAAATGAGTAACTGGTAAAAGCAGCTCAGCAGAGCAGGATTCTGTATTCACCTGTCATTTGGCACAGTTGGTAAATACTAGGGGAGATGGAGTATTGTTTAAATAACTGTCTTTTAGTCAAGTTGTTAAACTTAAGGAATAAACTTTGTATTTAAAATAAGAACACTTGTTCTCATTCTCAGGTTTGCTTTGGGACTGTTGCTTTGTAACTTTAGCACTCCTAATGTGCTAACCTAATTCCTCCTCTCCACTGTAGGCATGCAGTCTAGTATAGCAGGCATTCTTCAGTGTGGATTCTGAGGGTGTGAGACTTAACAGCTAGTTTGTGTTCTCATGTGACAATGCAATATAATTTTTGAGAAAAAAATTCGAATAGTTTGTAAATTTATGAGAAGAAACTAGAGCATTTTCAGTCTGTTTGCCAGTTATTGTTCATTGGATGTGACCAAAACCGGCTTCATTTCTTCTTCCCCCCCAAACTGTCAACTTCTGAGGATATAATTTGCTGCCTTTTTTTTTTTTTTTTACTGCAGCAAGTCTTCATAGCTGAAAGTAAGTTAAGTTTACTGCAAAGCTGTCTGCAAAATCTAGTCACTGTAAACTACCTTTGGCACAAGAGTAATGGTAACAAATTTTTGTTTAGCTCTTGACTGACACTTCTGACAGCTAATACAAAATATGGTGTTGAATGTAAATGGATGCCCTACTAAGCTACTACCATCACTTGTTAGCCCAAGAATAGAAAAGAAGGAACTCGCCCTTTTATGTGTTGAGTCTGAGGCTTAATGACTGGTTATAGTTCCCTGAAGTAGTACTTGCTTGTTTAATTAATCTGTAGCAAGTATGTTAGTCTTAGCGAACTATAATGCTTTTTCAAAATGTTCAGCCAGCTTTTTTTCGATTGAAGGTTAGGATAAACCTAATGCTGTGAGTCAGGGTCTTCAGAGATAAAGGCTGAAACTACCATACTGTTGTCATTTTCCTGTTTCGTAGCGTGCTTCCCTTCTCTCCCCAAAGCAGTAAAGATGATAGTCTAAAATCATATGAAGTCCACCAACTGTTAGTGAACCGCTCTCATCAACCTCTTTGTGCTGTTAGGACACTGGAATTTATTGTTAATGACCTCAGGTCTTAACACGGGGAGTGGAAAACTTATGTTCAGATGAGTAAGAACACTTGCATGTAAAGTACAGCTGGCCTTGAGAGAGAGCAGGCACAGACCTGTTTATAGAGATTCATATGATATGAAATCAGAAATACAATCATCTGACAACAGATGAAGTTTGGGAAGTAACTAGTTAAACAGTACCGTACTTCCCTCCAAAGGAAATTATCAGAGTAACGGTCTAGAAAAACTTAATATATTGCAGTGTTCAGTGAATTCCTATCTAATGGTTTTGCCTTCAGCAATGACTTAAGCTTCTTTCTGAAGAGAAATAGAACAATAACTATAATGTGTCCTCTGATTTCTCAAGCTGTAATTACCCTTTCTTTCTCTTCTATTCAGCCAAAACAGAGTGGAATATGAAAAGAGGGTTCGAGCACAAGCCAAGAAGTTTGCACCATCATAAGCATCTGTCATGCAGCATCTTAAAAAGGAAGGGATTGGTTTGGCAAGAACTTGTTTACAAAACTTTTGCAAAATCTAATGTTGCTATGTACAATTAATATCCACTTAGGGGAGGGGGTTGTATGTGTGCCATTTTCCATATTCGCCACTTGTATACAGTTCTAAATTTGCTGAATTGCCCCCAGTTTTTTCATACAGGGTCTCTTCCTTCAGTCTTTTGTATTTTTGATTGTTATGTAAAACTTGCTTTTATTTTAATATTGATGTCAGTATTTCAACTGCTGTAAAATTATAAACTTTTATACTTCTATAAATTCACTAGTATCTCTAGTTACTTTGCTATCTGATGCAGGCATGCTTTAAAATGTTAGAACTATATTTAGCCTCTAGCTGGCTGTATGAAAAAAAGATCATGCCCTCCACCCCCTTCCCTCCCTGAGTTTGTTTTTCTATCTTTCAGAAACTAGGTTGTTACTGCTTAAGAGCCTCTGAGATCCAAAGTCAGCCAGCATCCTTATTCTGCATCACTTCCTTTTGTGTTTATATGGCGTTCTGTCTGTGTTGCTGTTTAGAGTAAATAAACTGTTTATATAAAGGGCTTTGTTTCATTTATCTTCATTAAAATGATTAAAAGACTGCCATTTAAATGGCTCAAAACACAATTCAGTGCAAGTCCTGTTTTTAAGGCCTGTGATGCTGCACCCTTACCTTTTCTTTAGATGTTGCCTTCATTTCTTTTCCCTGACCACCACCCCCAATGTGAATGTGGCCCTTCTTTGGGCACTGAGTGGTACTGGCAGCTATTCAACTTTGATCAGTTCCTCAAAACAGTTTATGGAATTTTGACTAGCTAGACGCCAATTGCTTACTGAGCACAATGGGATCAACATACTGGTGTGACCACGTTAACATAAAATAACACAAGTCATTAGACTGATATGAACAATAATAGAAGCGATCCAAGGAATGCAAGGGGACCTACAGCAACTGGGGATTTTAAATGGTACTTGTTTATCAGAAATACTTCTGTGCCTTCTTCCATATGTCAATGTATATAGCTTTCAGGAAAAGGACATGCTCTATGCAATTACAGTTTCCTTCTGTAAAGGAAATCTGTTAAATTATGTAAGTTATTTTCATGTATGTCAAGCTGATATGCCCTCTATTAAACTTTCACTGTTTTTTTATTGTATTTTTTAGTCAAAATCATTCTGCAAAACAAATGAAGTGTGAATAGCTTTGTTCCATCTGAGCTGTAGCTTCATCGGTGCTTCTGTTATTAAAAAATGGCTACTGCTAGAGACTTAAGTGACTCAAAGTGTGATACAGCTCTGCTCTCAGATCTGTTCTGCTTGTCTGGATTTGATTAGCTTTATAATATTAAAGCATTCCCCCAAATTAGAATAGCTAACACCCTCACATTATGTTCAGTCCTTTAAAAATTGTTTGTGTGGGATTGTTTCCTTGTCACTATCATCAAGAAATCCTTGACAGAACAGCTGATTTGGGAAAGATGTCATATGCTTGGGGTGGGAAAGTGAGTAATTGAGAGAGTTAAACTAAAAGATTCCCTGTCAACTTAATTTACTTGAGCTTCTTTTTTTCTTTTTAAAGGGAAATGGAATGTTTGTACCACTAAAACTGCTGCTGCGACTCCCAATTCTAGCTCCAGTAGGGCTACCATTTAATCTCTAGTAGAAGAGGGCTAAGATGTGAAAAAATCTTCTGTGACTTGAAGATCTTGTATATATGAAGGTAATGTTACAAGTTGTCCTCAGCATCTCCCATTCTACTGAAGGGTTACTGAAGTTGAGGTTTAAGTAAGTTCTTGCTGGGTGCTGGAAACTAAAAGCATTCTATTCAAATGTACAGAAAAAAAATGCTAACAGCTGTACTTTTACTACACAAACTAGCAGGCATGTGGAAAAGTAAACTAAAATACCAGTGCTGAGAGTCTCGTACTCAATTTTTTAAGGACTGTAGGCAGATAGCATTGCTGAACCTGTAATCTGAAATTTTATGGTACAGTTCTGAACATGAAGTGCCAAAACATTATAGGTTGCTTAGGACTGTCTATCAGAGTAAATAAAAAAATAGCACGTAGTTACTAAAAAGACATACTGAGATGTTAAAACAGTTCCAGGAAGCATTTTTTTTCCTTTTTAGCTTAGGTAGGCAGTTTACCCTAAACTAGATGAAGTAGTTGAAATATATATGGCAGGTTCAAGCCTGCAAAAAGTCACAGGCTCCTTATGGGGTAGTACTCTGAACAGGACAATAACTTAGTCGTGTTTTCCACTCGAAATACAGCCCAGAAGTTAGAAGGGTTTACTTAATGTACTATTAGGTAAAAATAATCCCTGTAAACCACTTTCCGTACACATTGAGTAGAATCCAGGGTTTTCTGACTTGTAACTAAGCTTCAGGCTCTTCACATCATAATTAGCATTCTGTAAACAATTATCTAAAAATCAAATAACCTAAAGACTTTACATGCATAGACAGACCTCTAAACCTAAAGGAAGGCATTTGCTAAGCACAAAGTTACAGGTGAACAATCCACACTGTTAACTGCTCACAAGAAAATTTCTTTATACAAGATGTTATAACTTGTTGTAGGTGCGTTTTTTTGTTTGTTTGTTGGTTTGTTTTGTTTTTACTTTTCAAATAGTTGGCTGTTGTTGCAGCAGCTTTGTAGTACCATGATCTTCTGGACTGCTCTCATCACTGCCTTCAGTGGCATCATCCGAAGTGCTCATGCTGTCCTCAGATTCTTCATTACTTTGTGCTAGTCTGGAAACACTTTTCAGGATTATAAAAGTAAACCAACTCGCAATAAGAAAAATAGTATTTAAATTAAATTTCCTTACCCTGGGGAATTGATTGGTCTGTTGGGATTACAAAATTCTCTTCCTGAGTCAACATCAAATGGATCTGGAAAAAGAAGGAAAAAATGCACACATTGAAGGCAGCATATTTTAATGGTCTGCCTCCATTTTCACGTTAAGAGAAGATTATTGGCAGGGAGGGGAAGGCATAGGAGTATGACTCTACATTCTGATAAGTTTACCGTAGTGATTTGGTCAGAAACCAGGGGAGGTAAAAAACAACTGCCAAGTCCGATCTTGCTCTGTTCTGGTCTTTTCACTCTTTTCTGTGCCATTTGTGCCCCAAGCCCTCAAGGGGTTCAGTGGCTCTTTAGGGGTAGTCAAACTGTACACGCAGGTTTCTGAGGCTTTTGCTCAGAAAACATGGATGTTCTCAGAATGGTTTGGTTCTAAAAGGGCTTATCTAGTTAGTTCATGTTCACAGAGAAGTGAAGTATAGTTGTCCAGGTTTAGCTCTTGCTGAGTAAGGGTGAGGCTAGACTTACTTTGGTTTACACAGCTGGGGAGAACTGTTATCTCAGAAAAATCAAACAAGGCATGATAACTTTGGTACTACAGTCCATTCAGAAAATACATAGGATTGTGGGTGGAAGTGTGTTTTATTTGGCATTGTAGAGTTGCCCCTTAGGAACTGTTTTCAGTTTAATGCAACAGTAATTAGGCTTCCACCAAACAACAGGATTATTTCATTCAGCCTAGCATATCATGGCAGAGATCGAAGTTCGGAGAAACTAAAGGCTGTCTACCATCTCCTTACGGTGTGATCCCCTGGCCTATTTTTACAGGACTTAACCACTGTGAAAGGAAAACGTTAATTAGGAGCATCTCTCTTCCTATGTTCTTGATCATTTGATTTGGGTTTTTTTGTGCTGTCTTGAATGACACCAAGCACTCACCTGTGAATATAGCCTGGAATACCAGTAAGTTATTGGAAGAATTTGGGAATAAACTACTGTTCTTATTATAAGCTACTTTCGTTATCTTTATAAGTCTGATTTTAAACATCTTGATTAGCGGCTATATAAATATGTCCATTAAAGGTCTTTCTTAGGTTTATGTATAACTAACTTGTCAGACTGTATGCCTACATTTCTCTTACAGACCTCCTGAATTACTACTCTTTGTACTCATACTCTGCTTTTAACATCTGTATATAAAATGAGGAAGAAAATACAGTTCTTTTTACTCCTTAGTTCTGCAATAACCTTAACTTAATCAGGGTAGCTGTACCACAGTTCAGCTGTGAATATACTACTAGATGCACAAAATTGCTTTAGTCGTTTTCATCTTCTTGAGTTGAAAAAAATAAACAAACTTGCTTATAAGAATAGACAGTATAAAGACAGAACAACACATCTCAACAAAACTCTTCTACCTTGCCAGTATTTTAATGAGACTAAAGATTGTTAGGAAAAGGGTGGTGTGTCTATGTTTTTTCTTACCTATTTCTTTGTCTTTTGTTTCTTGGACACTGGTTAAAAAATCCTTTTCAACTCTCAGCACTTCTTCCTGGCAATGACAGGCTGCATATTTTTCCAAGAGATTTTTGTTTAAGTCAATAAATGCCTTACCCCATTTAAATTTCCTTAGAAGAATGGTGGCTAGGTCTGGGAATCCTAAAACAGAAAAATATATCATAAGTTTTCTTTTTCAGTGTGAGATTTCACTCAGCCTACAGGTTTCTACATTCAGTACGTACCTATATATCACTACAATAGTGAGATGTTTGCCAGCATTTTTTCAGCGTTCAGGGATTCAGACTTTTAGATTAAAAATCTTTCCAAATTTCAATTTAACTTGAAATAATCTAACTGAATCCAAGAAAAGTGCATAGTCTTTTAGTGTTACATAAAAATATTTTGTAATGGTAGTGAATGATTCAAGCTCTAGTGCCCACACTCTTTCAGTAAGAAAGCTGTTGTACATACAATATCTTCAGAAGATAATATTCATCTGCAGTACAGTAGAGCATGTCTCTTTGATTGTCAAGGAAGTTCTGCAATGAGTTTGCAAAACATAACAAGAGGGGCCAATTTCTTTTGTTCTTAACCAGAACCCACCCTATTAGACAGACAGCTATTGCCTCTCATTAAGACAGATACCTAAGGATTCATAGCCTGTCTTCTCTGGCTTTTTTTAACAGTTTTTCTAACGTTAAGTACCATTCTGACAAAGCCAGGATCATCAGTCTGTGTGCTGTTTAGTAGCTGACATGAACACCCCACAGATACCTCAATGCTACCAGAGACAACTGCATGGAAGAAAGCTAGACAATCTGATTCCAACCTCAACAAAGTGATGACCAGGAGGACAGCATTACAGTTTATTCTATCACAAACCATCTCTCATGATTTATTAAGGATGTAGGAACTGCTGTTAACATATTTCACATCAGACACATTACAGCCTACCAACAATGCAAAAAGCTGCAGCAAAAGCTTCCACACAGGACAGCTTGCATGGCCGTCCATAGTTTACAGGATTTGCAGCCACCAAGTAAGGCAGCAGCCGTAGATGACTTCCTCGCATTTTCTTAAAGGGAGTTTCTTCTAATTTGGCCCACGAGCAATCTATGACTGCAACTCCACTCCGAGCAATGACATGCCTGAAAAAAGCAACATCACCGTATTTGAAAAATTGTTATCATTGTATTGATAAAACAAGTTAAAGTGAGAATTACAATTGCTACTTTATACTGGCAACAAATTTGCATACCCCCACTTTTATCAATCAAAAAGTATACGTGTTACAATGATCTAAAATACAGATGCAGTGAGAAAGAATAACATGCTTTTTCTCCAAACATGCATGTGGCAAGAAAGGTTTATCCATACTGTTCAACCAGGAAGTGAAAAGTTCTAGGTTTAAAAATGTGACAGAAGAGTGTGGTTAATAGTAACATTCACATTCTTAGAAGTACACCAAAGTTCAGAATTAGGTTCTCCACTAGCTTCTAAAGACTAATCTTTTCTCAGAATAAATATACCTTCACAGTAATTCTGCAGGTACTTCTGAAGAAAATTCTCAATGTTTCCCCCAAATAAGTTTTCTAGTTAATGCATTGTGTTGTTTATCTGAAGAACTTGAATATGGTATCATAAAGAATACAGTAGCTATGGGCCCATGAGTCTGAACAAATTAACCTACAAACCACATACTTTGATTTCTCATTGGGATCTACAGATGCTTTTTTCACCTGATACCAGCCGTGTAAAAATGTTAAGCTGATTTAATAAAGCGGCTCTATTTCTCATGTACACGCATCAATGTAATGTAACAGGAAAGTCAAATTTTTTCAGCGGCACAGTTTTGGCCATGAATCGGTGGTTGAAATACTCTCCCTAGTATACCATCACTACAGCATTTGAACCAAGTGCTTTTCCTCACAGGCTACGCCCCCGCGGGCTTTGCAAACAGGCAGGGCGGTCACCCGGGTGTAGGCCTCACCGGCGACGTACCTGTCAGCTGGAGAGACGTATTCAGTAGCCAGGGGACTGAGGACGAGGCCCGGGAATCTCTGGCGGAGGCGCAGGGTTCGGAGCAACCCTTTTCGGGCCAGTCTCCTCCCGGTGCATTTCTTGGGATCGCAGTGTCCGAGCTCCCACATCGCAAGAGGGCACGGGAACTTCGCCTCCGGGGCGCCCAGCTCCGCGGCCCCCTCACCCTCTAGGCAAACTGAAAACAGCAGGCGCGCGTTAGTGCCCAGCGGCCGGCCCGCCAGCCACACGGCCCGCCCCGGCAGGACCCGCGCTCCCGCTCGGCCCCGAGGCCGCGCTACGCTCCCGCACCTCTCAGCGCGGCCTCCGCTTCGGCCGCGAAGGTGTCGAGGCTGCGAGCGCCCCGTCGCCCACCCCTCCGCGGGGCAGCGCGCCGGCTGCGCGCCACGGTGCTGCGCTCCATGGTGCTGCGCCTGGGCGGAGCGGCCGCCCCCTGGCCCCGCGCCCTTCCGTTTCCAGCGGAAGAGGCGATGGCGGCCGCCCGGCTGCTGCTGGCGGCGCTGGGCGCGGCGCTGGGTAAGCGCGGGGTCGGGCGGGGGCCGAGCGGGTGTCGCGGTGGGTCCGTCCGGCCGCCGCAGCCAACCGGCCTCTGTTTGGCAGGTCTCTTCGCAGCGGCGGGAAAGATGAAGATCGTGGAGGAGCCGAATACGTTCGGGTACGTGGCCGCCCGCCCGCTGTGGCCCGCGGCCGCCTTGGACTCGGCGGGCTCGTGTTCGCGTGCCGCTCGCCCGCTCCGGCCCGGTCCTTCCTCCGGGGAAGGGCGGGCCCGGCCGGGTCGGCGCGCTTTTGGTGGGCCCGCGAGCAGGGGCCGCCGCCCCGCCGCGCGTCGTGCGTGGCCGTAGGTGATGGGACGCTCAGGTAGGGGAAGATAGAACTATAGCCAGACGCATAACGCAGTCTTAACCTGTTAACTTTCCTTCTCTTGAAAGGTTGAATAACCCATTCTTGCCTCAAACAAATAGGCTGCAGCCGAAGATGTCCCCGTCTGCAATATCAGGTATATGCAAGTATTACCTTTTCTTGTACGGTTTTCATCATTCAGTCATAGTCATTTGCAAAATAGCCTACTTTGACTTCATGCAGACAAGAACTAATTTTAGTTATTTTATGAGCACCATGGAAAATAAGCGTGGGCTAATTCATTTTATTGTGCTTCTGAAGGGTTAAAACCTAGATTAACCTCTTTGCTGTTTGATGTCCCAGTGCTGTTTGGACTGCTTTTGTCACAGTGTTACCATATGTTTTAATCGGTGGTTTCTGAGCCAGTCACAGATCTTTATGATCCTTACTAAAAACTTTTTTCTTCTTGAAACAGTCCCCAACATACTTGAGATTGTCATCACATCATCTGGTAGTACTTAATACTCAAAAATTATTTTTAAATGTCCTAAGAGTAGTTTTGGAACAAGTCACAGGCTTGGTTTCACACAGAAAGCCTGGGTGCTGCAATAGAAGTCCACCACTTTAGCAGAATAAACCAGGAATCTAAAAGTTCCAGACCATATATGGAGGAGAATAAATAAACTAAACACTGTATGCAAACAGTAAGCAAAAGGAAATAACTTTTGTCTTTCTGCTAGCCTTAGACACAGACTTAAACCTTGTTCAGGTTCAATAAAGGCATTTTGGTGTTGTGACGCTGAACATGTTTATGCTTAATGTCTTCTGTCATGTTTTATAAGCCCAAATCAAATGTATAAATTTTGCACGCACTGCATGTGAAAAGTGAAATAGTTAGAAATGGGATTTGTAATAGAATGCTGAATGGGAACATGAAACTAGCAAGAAAAAAAGTTAAAAGTTTCCTGGATGTGGAAATTTACGTGTAGCCAAAAATTGGGCGTGTCTTTACAACTGGAATCGAGGGCACAGAACCCTGTCTTGCACAATTATTTCTTTAGCATGGAAACCTTACTCATTGTTTTCTTTTACAAGGCAGTTGGGCTAACAGTTCCTATAATTTCTCTTTTAGACCATCTGCCCAGGAAATGGCGGCATGAGTTTAATGCATTCCTCAGGGACATTCAAATTTGCTTTTCTTCTTCTGTGGGGAGAGAGCATCCTTATCACTAAGGCATAGATTGCATGTAGTAGAGGGGCAAACCCTTTGGCCAAGCCTATCTGTACAATGAAATGCAAGATCACACAGTGAGAAAAATCCCAGTGGTTAGTATATTCCAGAGGGCATGATTCTGGTGGTCTTGTCTTTGTTTCTAGGATTACGTGTCTAGATCTTTGCAAAAAGTACATAGGCAATCCTGGCAATGGGGAACTAGAATCCAGGATCCAGTTTTATTTTATTTCCTTTGTAATATCCTTTCTTCTCCTTTCCTCACAAATATTTAATCATTCTGTGCAAAATTACCTTAAACAAGGGACACTGAAATACCCCTGTAGCATGTGGTTCTGAATTTTGGCCCTTTTTTGAATGACAAGTTAGCTCTCTTGGATTCCTTTGTCAGCAAGGCTGGAACAGTCAATTCAAGGGTAGAATTGTAACTGTTGACTTTTACTGTCTGACAGTAAAAGGTTTATCGCGTTGAATGCTAACTGGATCAGACTGTGAAGGGCAAACTGTGGGAAGAAATATCTAATTTGAGAATCTCAGTGAAACTTAAATATGCAGCACTGTCAACATTCTGAGCAAATGGGCTTTACTAGTATAAACTTGAGGACTTTAGATGGTATAGGGGACAGACAGCTGCCAAGCAAGACTTCTAGTGAAATATTTCAACGCTAGATTTTGGCAAGATCTGCACTGATGATTCCTTTTATGGATCTGGCCTCCAAATACTTGTTTGTATACGGGTTTCTTATTTCTGTTGTAGAAAGAAGCGTATCTATTTCACTCAGTATTGAAGATGAGAAATGTTAAAGATCGTGATGCAGACCCATATAGCACTACTGGGAATTTAAAGTGATCCATATGGAAGATACAAATTTCCTTATGTACAGCAGAAAACTGAATTTGTCACATACTCCTTGCAGTTTTGTCACCACAATAACTTGCTTAAATTTAACAAAAAACATTATTCTTCCTTGATGTAATTTTGTGGTGTTTTTAGGCCCTGCACATCTCTTTAGGCTTGCTGGCAAGTGTTTCAGTTTTGTGGAATCCACGTGAGTAATGGATTTGGATATTTGATTCTATCTATTTATTAGGAACAAATGCTGAAACATTTCTTATTTTCTTTTTTTTCTTTCTTTTTTTTTTTTTTTTGTCTTTTAAGGTACAAGTATGAGTTTTGTCCTTTTCATAATGTCACTCAACATGAGCAGACTTTTCGATGGAATGCCTATAGTGGGATTTTAGGGTGAGGCTTTTAAACCTTTACGTTTTACCTATGTTGTTAGCAGATCATTTTATAGATTGTCAAAAAGGAGGCAGTTTTAAAACTAAGATTCTTTTATTGGTCAGCATAGGTCAGTGTAGTTCCCAAGTCGTTATGCATAAAAATACCCTGTCTTGAAAAATTCAGAATTTTTTTGTTGATAAATACCAGCCTCCTATTTTAGCTGGAGGCAGTTTAATAACCAGTGCCAACTGCAGGTGTGATATGTTTATGTGAGAAATTCAGTATTGTATAACTACAGCTTATATTAACAAATATTTAGTGTCTGTTAACTGTTTTTACTTTGAGTTTAATATAACCTTAGAAAATGAAATGAGTGCTTTATGCCAGTGGTTTTGTTAAATATATTTCATAGAAGGTAGTAGAAGACTCAGTGTATACCCAAAAAAAGTATCCCAAAGTATTCAAAGACCCCAGAGTATCCAAATCGTAAGTCCTACAATAAATTTAGTTAGAAACCAGAGCAGTGTTTTAAAATTGCTGCCTTTCTAAATATTTTTTATATATATGTCTCTTTTTTTCTTATGTGCACAATAATTAGTGAGCCAATATAAGAAAAAAAGAGTACCTCAAGGTGCTGTGAGTATCACTGGCTTTAGGACTAGCAGAAGTAGAGACTAGTTTTTGTAGGTGCTCTCACCGTCACTAAAAATCCTGCAAGCAATCTGAGTTGCACAGGGTACTTAGCATCGTGGAATTTGTTGTGGTATTGATCTATAAACTGTATTTTATTGGCTTTAAAAACAGATTTGTAAGTGCAAATGGTTTGCAAACTGAAAGGTGATCCAAAACTCTGCTCTCAAAGTAATGTTGATGTGCCCTATGTAGCAGCCTGGATAACAAACTACACTGTTTATAAGATCTTGGCTGTAAGAAATGGAAGTACTAAAACTGCAAAAGTTAAGTAAATACAGTGAAATTGAACATGGTTTAGGGATGTTCCTGTTTTATTTCCTGAGTGTTAATCTTTTTCTTTCCAGTAACTTAAAATAAAATTATGTCCTGTTTTTTCAGAATCTGGCATGAATGGGAAATTGACAACAACACATTTGTTGGAATGTGGATGAGGGAAGGAGACTCATGTGAAACTAAGAGCAGACAGACAAAGGTATAACCTAGACTAATCTAATTCAGACAGCATGACTCTACACACACACTGAAACATTCCTACCCTGAAGAAGTCATAATTTAAGATGTGATACAAAACATAAAGATGAATTCCTATAGGAGCTAGGTGCATGGATGGAGGAGGAAAGCTAAAATCAGGGTAAAATTTTGAAGAATTTTACTTATATATTCTCATCGGCTACTTTTAACTCTTTTTATTCCTTGATAGAGTGGAATATTCTGGTATTATCACTACCATAGAAACATACACTACTTTGTAATTTGTGTCAGGAAGAATAAAGAAAAAAAGCTATTTGTTGAATTCAAGATGCCAGCCTACTGTGCTAAAAATATCCAGGAAAAAGGAGGGAAAAGAATTAGGCAATTAAGAACAGCATGCTGAGAAGCTAAGTAAAGTGTTAAAACAAGAGCAGAGGGCATGCAAGGAGAATTAAGGAAGGAATCAAATATATGGGAGTGACAGAAGAACCAGCTCCAGAGAAGCAGATTCTGGTGTGAGTACATTTTAAAGGAAAAGTAAAAATTCATATTTTGTGGAGTGGTTAAAATATTCCTTTTCACATTCAAAGAGCCTCTGTGCCAAACAACTATTAAATTAGAAGGATAAGGAAGGGTGTCTGTTGCCCAGTGTGTGGCACATGATTTGCACATGTCCTTTATCCTTTTATTCCTTAATATTTTTCCACCTCCCATTTCAGTGTGTTACACAGTTTTACAGATATAATGAATTAAATCTCACATTGTCTGGTGATGTAGATCTCTATTCATGGAGAAGAGTTAAAGATACCATACAGTTCACAGCAGGCAGCTTTGTGTGTAGAAGATGCTTAGCTGTTGCAGTGATGGGTGACAGTACAATGCTTAAAAGAGAGGGATGTAGAGTTGGAATAAACTCATGTGAAGATGGGATAAGGGACAAAGTATCTTGGTCAAGGTG